TTGTGGTATTGGGCTCAATATTAATAAGAGTATCAGGTAAAAGACCATCCAGCAGTAGAACCAACTCTTTGTAGAACACCCAGTTGACTTTCTTCAGAAAAAATAGAATAAGTAGCACTACTACATGGAAGACGAGGTCGCATTATGTAACTGAGAAGCAATCTGCGAACTACCAAATTAACCATCAAACTTTCCTGCTAACCAAAGAATGAGTAAGTAAATTTGAAATTTTTGGAGTAAAATATCATGCTAAGGTCTTAACTTATAACCTGAGACATTGCAGCATCAAGAAAAGGGTTTACATCTTTTGGCCCTGGGGTTGGACCAGAAAGAAGTTGAGTTGACATCGCAACAAGCATGAAGTTGAGCAACTCCTGGTGTAGAAGGGACGTCGTAGGATTTGCGAGGAAAATAGTGTAATATTAGGAGAAAATTAAGCAGAAATGCCAATGTAAAAAATGCATTATTAAGCGCTGGTGTACCTTACATCTATTGAACCATTGAAGGTAAGCACATTATGCATTACAAGATTCTCAATCTTTTGATCTGCACATTAGAAATAAAAATCAAGTCATGACGCAATTCATCAGTAAGTAACGACTTGTCAAGATACTCATTTACAAACTTCAATTTCAAAACTCACGAACAGATAAGGATGAAGAGCCAAATAGTTGCAGATTTACTAGTCATGAAATCCTTAGGAACCAGTTCATTTTCATGAAGAGACAAGCATAACCCCTTCATGTTGTCACTATGTGAATTCTCAATTATGTACCTTAAAAAAACCGATGAAATATACACCGCATTAATGGCCTTCAAATAAACCGGAGAGGAAGCACCAGATGTTAGAATTGCCTCTTGTAAACACCATGAAAGGTGAATCAAAACCTTACGCTGACCTTATGCCCATTGTGTTCCTTCAAGTCTGAATTCTTTTTGGTTCTGCTACTTACTCATTCTTTTTTCGAAATCTTTGTATAGTGTATACACAAATTCATTCCATTATGCATGCATGACCTAGCATGTAAATAACATTCCAATTTGTATAATATTTATAGCATTCACTTCAAATAAATTTAAAGGCACCAATGCAGGGAAATTTAGAAGCTATTTTGTGTGGAAAATATTACCCAACGGAATCATCGTCATGGTTGATTCAATATCATAGTGAAAGTTAAAAATCCCTAAATTAAACATGATATATTTTTATATAAATTATGTTGAAGTAAAATTTTAATATATTTTTCAAATAAATTATGTAAAATTTAATATTAATTAAAATTATACATGATATATTTAAATAATAAAATAATATATTACCAATGATTTTTTATATAAATAATTTTTATTTAAATATATTATTGATGAATTTTTATATAAATAATTTTTATTTAAATAATTTGAATTTCACACCTTAAATAATATAGAACAAGGTCAATTTGGTAAAATATACATTCCAGTAATCTTTTATTCTTTCAACCAAAAAAGGTAATCTTACATTCCTGCCAAACCAACCAAACATAGTAATGTAACATTCCCAGTAATCCTATTCCCTAGTAATCTTTTATTCCCACTGGTAATCTTACATTCCGTGAACCAAACACACCCTTAGTATTTATTGCAAAAACACTTGCACAATCGACGGAAGAAATCGATGAAAGCGAATCCTTCGTAAAAGCAGTAATGTACAATTATACAAGTCTCCTTTATATTTTTCCAAGGACAACCCTTTTTCAACTTTTAGATTATATATATATATATATATATATATATATATATATATATATGAATATCTTATTATTTTAACTTTTAAATTTCATAATATAGTTTTAGAAAAAACTTTTTTAATTTATGAAATTAAATATTTTATATATTTTGTGGAATTAAATTATATAAAAATATATTTAAAAATTAATTTGATCAAAAATAATATTTTTTAAATATATTGCAACTATAATTATTCTATCATCTTTATATTAATTAAGTAAAGAATTTCAGTTAGAGCAAGAGAGAAATAGGGTTTTTTTAACTGATGGGAGTTGTAACAATAATAATAATTTTTGTATTTTTTTCATTTCTTTTATTAAGTGATAAAGGTCCATAGATCATTGTACTTTGAACAAATAGAATTACCACTTTCTTCATTACAAGAACACTTATCTACTTATGTTTTCGGCCACCCTTCTTGCTTTTCTTGGGTTTGCTTTTCCGTTGCGATTTGGAATTGGCAGTAGCTTCGGAAGCTGGCTTCTTACCCTTGTTGCTACATTCCTCGGCTTTACTTGTACTCTCTTCTGCATTGCACCCTTCACCGGATTCATCAGATTTGTTTTCTTCATCTTTGTCCGAGTGGAATAGTCGCCGCTGGAAAGGCTCCATCGCGGACCACCCTGAAAGTAGCTCCTCGCAAAGGGCGCCGACGATTGGAATATTACTCGGAAGTTCCAGCTTACTGAAAAAAGGGAATGGAGAGCAGCAGGAACTTCTAAGATTCATGTAAAATGGTGTGTTTGAACTTCACAAGGTAAAAGCAAGATGAATGGAACTGACCTCGGTTCTAGTTGACTATGCAGTTCCTTCGTTAGATCGAGCAAGCTGATTGCAGCCTTCAAGAAGTCCTCTTCACCATCTGCAGAATTCTTCTGCGAACATTCCTTTATACCAGCATCGATGATGAAAATGAATCCTCCTAGATATACCTGCAAAATGTAGCACATGATGTAACGATTAAACAAGTAGAACTGACATGAAAAACAGCAAGACAAGCGGGCACGTCAAATCGCGTGCGTATAAGCATTACCCTCAATGTTGAAGCATGTGAGATAAAGGTCCTCAGATCTTTGATACCATCCACTGCCGTTAATGCTTTAACAATTTCCAAAAAATGATCACGGTTAAACTGTGGATCACTAACATTTTGATTCTGAGTATTCAAGTCTTGATCCGACAAAGAAACCAAGCTTGAAGACGGAACAACCTCGGAGCTCGTCCCTTCATCAGAACTACCTGGAGGAAGTGGTTTCCCAGAGAAATCAGTAGTTCCATATTTAGGACTTCCAGTTTTAGGGAACAAACTTCTCAATATTTCTTCCTTGCATGGATTAACCTTCATATCAATAAATATGGCATCCTTGCACCCAAATTTAGGACATCCTCCTTTCACGCTTACGATTACAAGAGGGTTTCCGATCTTCTTAAAAGCATCAGAAAGCAGATTTACATCGATATTCAGATAATTATTACTCCGCCTTCTCCGAAGAGCATCACAAAACTGCTGGGGAAGTTGGTCTGTAATATGCTTTTGACCCAGCAAGTGAAAAAGTAATTCAAGACCCTTGCCAAAATTCAGATGCAGCAAACATACAATGATCACCAATCTCAAAACCAGCAACGAATGATACTTCACATTTATACCAGACTGTTGGATCCAACCTATGGTCTCTCTCTTACAATACAGGACGTTATGAACCATGTCAGTTACAAATTTAAGACTGTATTCCAAGAATTGCTGATCAACAGCCACAAAACTGGAAGTTGTGCAGGGTCTCCCATCCTCGTATATAAGCCATTCCACAAAAGTCGTTTTCGTGGTGAAGAAGTATCCTTTAATGAAGGATAACAACATCAGATAGCGCTCGACAAGATACAAGAAACAAACTGGTGACATATAATCACACATTCTCCAGTTTGCATTATAAGTATCTTGTAAAGCATCATGGAACTTGATTCCCGAGCTTCTATCCTCGTTGAGATTCGCAACGAAGCTCCGCCATGCTTCATTCCATTGTAAACAACGGAGAATCTTCCCATATAGTTCCTTATTCAGCTGACCGGATCCAAGAATTATCAGAGCCACCTTTCCAATTTCTCCATAGGACAACTTTTTACTTTCTAATCCGATCTTTTCCGATATAACTTCAAGTAAATTCCTTGAGATTTCAGATCCCCGTAGAGAGATCATGTTTTCACTCAATGATTCTCGCCAATCAAGAGGAAATACGTATCCAAAGAAGAGATCTGTTGACAGGTTGAGGAATTTCACCAAATCCTTCTTTGTATGATTGCAGTTCAGAAACTTGGAGTTCAAGAGAAAACTTGAAACCTCGTAGATATGAGTAAGACACCTGCTTTGATTAAAAGATGACAGAGAATTCCTATGAGATAAATTATAAAGTGACTCGAGCATTTTCAGGACTTGCAGGCCAACAGAGAGCAATTCTGAACACCAATAGCCCCTTGCAGCCGAGACAAATTGATGGATTGAAATAGAAATATGTTTCGAGTTTCCACAAACAGGTTTGTTATGGACTTTCCTCCACCATTCAGCATCAGAATTCTGAAGATGATAGACAGCATTTAAATTATCAAACTGTCTCCAGACCCCAAAATAGTTCATGCAAAATTCTCCATATCTTCCAGAAACTTCAGTTCCACCTTGGTTTTCAGCACGATCAAGATACTCGAATATCTTCAAGATTTTATCCTTCCAAAAATTCCAAAAGTAGACCAGTGATTCAGCCGAAACCCGGTTATCGGAAATTTGCTCATCTGAAAAGCTTGCTAGATCAGAGGCCATTTCATCTGTCCATTCATATTTTGAGATTTTTAAACGAAGATGATGATCAAGAATCATTCGAGCAACCAACATTTCACCTCTGGTACTCTTGTGAGCCTGTGAAGCACTTAAATATTGTTTCATCAAGAACAAGTTACTCGGCTTGTTCAGAAAAATATCAGCCTCTGAACAAACAAGCCCATAAAACTGGGTTGAAGAGTTCTTCGCAAAATACTTAGCTTCAGATAGAAGCTTCTCTTTTTCTTTAAACGGCTTCAATGGCCATCCACTGCTCCCAGCTACCCATAGAGAGTTAGAAAACACATACCACAGAATAAGATGCACGGCCTCCTCATATTGTGAACCCTTCCCAAGCAAATCAGCAGCAAGCAGAAGGTTGCCTCTCAACTTTGCAATATTTGCTGCCTCGATGAAGTTCCCCGATTCTTCTTCCAAAGATAAGAGCTCATCAAAACACTCTAAGGACCGCAAGAACTTTCGTCTCGAATTCATCGAATCAAAAGCTCGGACATAAGTCAACATTTTTCTCTTATCATTAATCTCATGATAATGGCTGGCACAGTTCTCCAAAAACTTTTGCTTATGTTCCTCCAAATCTTCACTTCCTTGGACCATTTTTTCATCTACATTTGCATGTTGTTTCCAATATTGAATGTATTGCAAGCCCGTGTCGAAGAGTTTTCCTTTCATACATACAGACAAGCATTTTGAGATATTATTGCCTTTTGCATACACTTCTGCTGCAGTCATGTAACATCCGGCAAGAACAAAACATTCTGCCGCTCTCTCCAGAGCAGATTCCCCACATTTTTCCAAATAAATGTGACCTGCATTTTCAAAGCAATAGTTTCAGTCATAAATCATGCAATAAACAATGTATAAAGTGGCAAAATTGTACTTTACCTGCTCTTTCATACTCTTTCAACATGTAAAAGCACTCTGCAGCATGCTCAGCCTTGCCAATGGAATAAAAAATTTCAGCAGCCTGCCTCCTGGCAATAGAAGCCATTTCGAGATTTGAACCATGCAAACGATCAGCATTTGCTCTAAGTCCAAGAGCCTTGGCTAGTTTTTCCCCATATGAATCATTAGCTCTTTCAAAGCATATGGTCGCCATCTCATAGTTACCCTGATGCAACAGCTGCAGAACACACAATTAAGAGGGATAAATGAGTTGTTAGATTGACATTAGATTATTCATAAAATAAAATTAATGGAACCTATAAATTAGATTTATCAGCAAGAACAATCGGATGAGTTATAGACCTTCAAGAAACAACGAACCTTATAACCGCGTGACTTCCACTCTTCAGAGCTGCTTGCAACTTGCATTGCTTGAGCAAGTGAGTCATCCAACTTTCTCACTTGAACAAGACACTTCTTTTTCCAGTAATTGAATACTGGCTCGGAAAACTCTTTAACATTTTCACAAATCCACAGTCTTTGCCTTGTGCGGGTGATGCCAACATATAACTGCTTTAATTCAGAGCACATAATGTTGTGTTTCCCCTGTTTGAAACTTGGGAATGGGCACTGAGCATCAAGTATGCCTTGCTCCTTCATGTACTCGTATACAATTCTCCAGTGATTCTTTAGTGGTGATGAACTAAAAAAGTTGTACAACAATACGTCCTACATAAATATAATGTACAAAAAATTAATCATAAAACGGATGAACTAGTTGACATTTTCAAATATAGCATGCAGACCGGATAAACAAGAATAAACATTAAAAACAAAATACCTGAAACTCTAAACCTTTGCATTCCACTATAGTCAGAACAAGGGCTTGCTTGCCAACAAACTTCAATATTTCGTTCTTGGCAGGATCATCTCGTACGAGTATGACCTGCTCCGCTCCAAATCCGACCATATGTCCCTCAGGTTTACCACTGTGTGTGAATATTTTTGCAATTACATTGTCTTCACTACTATCAGAGTCAAGCCAGATTGGAGCTTCTCCATATATTAGACTCGTTTCAGGGGATAAACTATCAACAAATGAAGGAAAGTAATGGTAAAGAAGATCGATTACACTTTGCGCTAACCTCAGTACACCATCATGTGTACGAAAATTCTGGCTCAAGTGAAAACTTTTAGATATTTGACCCTTCTCCTTTTTCTCATGATTTTTTTCACCTTTTGATTCCAGAACAAACTCATTGAAGAAAAGGGTTCGTATATCCTCAAATCTAAAATCAATTCCCCTGGCAATTGTTTGGGCAGTATCCCCACAGAAAACAAAGCCTTCACTAACATTTTTGCAAACATGTTTGAACAAAGCAATTTGTCTCATTGTAAGATCTTGCACCTCATCAATATAAACAAAATCCATAATGTCACCCCCATATCTTTCATTCTGAAGTCGGCTATGTAGATCATTCACAACATCAGCCATATCAAACTCGCCATTTTCTCCCTTCATTTTTTCATAATCTTGAAAAATATCATAGACCATTTGTCTTTCCTGTGAAGTTAAGGTAGACGCCCGACCCTCAGATAGTTTCACATAATCATCCTTACTAAGTCTACCGCCACAGGAATCTCCTGATTGCAAGCCACCTTTTATATGAGAAGTTATCTCTGTAAAGACTCTGGATGAGTCAAGTTTATTTGTTAGCCTAGCATTAAAATGAGGCCAATAATTTGAACAGAACTTCTCAAAGTTTACCTCGCTTATTCTTATACAATTCCGAACCAAGGACGGAGCATTTACAACTTCCAAATTTGAAAGCTCCCTTGCATCATAGAATTTCTCAAAGAACGAGTTGCCAATAGTAAAATCAAGCATTATCAGAAACTTTTGCAAGGTTATTACAAGTGGGTATGCCTCAGGAAGAATATCCACAAATGAATCAGGAATATCCTTGAATTGTGCTGCACCATCGATATCATCGGCCTCTTGCGATGCACTCTCTTGAGAAAATTTTCCATTGCTGACAAATCTGTAGAAAAAGACTAGTCACATCAGGAAAAAAAGGAAAAACACATGCATCTAAATAAAGTACCCTAACCGGAAGATAATATTTTAGCTCAACATCCAACACACCTTTTCAATTGAAGAACGTGATGTTTCACTGCATAACAGAGTTTTGGGCTGACGGTGACAAAAAGTTGGCGCAATTGAGTTGTTTCAGTCCTTCCAACAGCGCCCATATTTCTGTTTGCACGAAGGACATCGTTAGTGCTATTTGTGGTAACTGGATCAAAACCTTCAGTTGCTAACAGGTGAGATTGCTCTTGTTTAAACAACTTCATAGTCAGCACAGTAGTCTTCCCAGTTCCTGATCTCCCTAAAATAAATGTGCTTCTTGGGAATAAGATTATACTACGTTCATGGTCTGTCACCTCGAACGGAAGTTCTAGTTCTCTTCCATCATGATCACAGAGAAGATGGCTGACAACACCCGATGATAAAGAGTAGAACTTCATCAAGAGCAAGCTCTCACTGACTTTTGAGTTTTCTAAATAACATCCACCACCTGAAGCACTACCAGTGGAACTGTTTTCTACTTCGTCTGGCCTTAATGTCTTATACCTGACAACATCTAATGAGGTCCAAGTTTTGGGAACTTCCAAATGCCTAAATACAAAAAGGGGGAAAAGGAGTAAAAACAATGTAGAAGTTGAGAATTACTGCATGGGAAACATAATACTCATATTTATGAACGGAAAATTTTATGTTTACACGGACTGCTAAAAAGGTCACATACCCATCCATATATTTCTCATTGCAATGACAGATAAAACCATCTGTATACATTTTGAAGATGCCATCTAGGCGCTTAACCAATCTTGAAATATCCTCTAAGGGCAAAAGATCCCAAGCCTTCAATACTTGAGTGTACCTCTGCTCTTTCAGTATATCAATTGAGCTGACAATATAAAGACTTTCAATCTTAAATTGTTTCAAGATCATAGAAGAATTTTCACAAGATAAATTAACATTTCTCTTCGGTCGCCAGCCGCAAGAAAGTTTTAAAAGAAGGTTTAGAACTGATTTCTGGGTTTGGGCAGATTTCAACTTCCCAAATGACTTTTTGAAGTTGTCACTGAATAGAACCTGAGGTTATGGGAAATGAAAAGATAAAAAAGTTAGAGCTTAGAGACATACGCACCTAGTATCTAATGTAGTTTCTATAACTAAAATTATGAAGAAAAATTAGTTCACAACTATGTTCAACAGCAAGATTTCACCTTCCACCTAGCATTCTTGAAGAGAACACTATCATTATTAAGCAAATCATCAAGTTGATCAAACTCTTTCCTGGCATCAAAAATAGATTTCTCTAATCCCTTGTCTTCAACAGCTTCAAAGAAACAATGACGCATTTTTGCATCTTTAACTAAATCCTGCCAAACAGATTCATGTTTGGCCAGTGTTCTTTCGTCACCCAAAACCCAGAGGCAGTGCCTGAGAAAGAATTAAAAACCAAGTAATATATTGCAACTTATTACAGAATTCCAAAAACTGAATAGAAATAGTAAAGGTTAAGCCAAGGAAATACCTTGCCCTTGTTAGAGCAACATTAGTTCTTTGAGAATTGGATATAAAACCGATTTCTCCAGAACGATTGGATCTCACAGTTGATATTATTATGATATCTTTTTCCCCACCCTGGAAGCCATCAACTGACTTCACCTTCACATCGAAGTTATCACTTCTCTCATACTTCTTACCAAGCTTCTCCTGAATTGCAACAACCTGAGCAGCATAGGGAGATATTATGCCAATGCTGAGCCTCTCGCTTGAGCTATTCCATGCTGTATGCAAAAATAACAAAAATAAATCAATATATTAATTACAAGAAGCTTGCTTTCTAATTTTAATATGGAATAATGGAGTGAATTGAAAGGCCTATCTAGCCCTCAAAGTGAACAATCTCTTTAAGGATAATAAAGCGTATGCAATAAAACTAACTATCCAGATATAAGTAAAATCATCCATATATGCACACATATATACAAGTTAAAAATTAAGCTCAAGATAATTACCTTTGAACAGAGTTTGCACCAACATCTGCACAACGGCTACCTCAACCATATTCCTGCGGCTACGTCCCAAATCACCCTTCTCTTCTCTTCCAGAGACGTTTATAAAGGAATAGGGGCCAAACATAGGTCCTGGTAGATAATGTTTCTCATAACTCTCGTGCTTAACACCAGCTGCATCCAAGATCTGGTTATTGTAGAACCGTGCATTTGGAAAGCAGCTAATTGAAGGATGCATTCTGTACTGAATATTCAGTAGGTGCTTGGAATGACCCAAAGTAATCAACCTTTGAAATAAACTTCTTCCAAAGCCAGCTTCCCTAGAAACCTACAAAGAAATTGATAAAGTTACGCCTGGTAATAAATTAGGGGGGGGGGGATTGCAAGGGAACTATGGAGAAAAAAATATTACAGTAAATCAAGTATAATATGCATACATTGCTGCGAACTGTAGCAGGCAATTGCCATTCATCACCAATAAGAAACGCATGTGCAATGCCCGGCAATTGCATGGGAATGGCCGATTCACATTCTTTCAACTGCGCTGCTTCGTCAATTACCAACAAGTTGAGAGGTTTCATTCCAACCTTATAGAGTTTATAAGAACTACTTGCAGTGGAAAAGAGTAAAGAAGCTGACTGAAAGCAGAATCGAACTAAGGATTCCCTGCTCATCGCACTTGGCAGTTTAAGTTCACAAAGAGAATCTTGAATGGATTTCAGAACAGAAATACACTTGCTTCTTATTGAGCACAATGAATGATACGGATCACGAAGATTTTGATGAAGCATTTTATCATCTTTTGAACGTAAAAGGAGTTCCACTTCTTCAGAAACTAAACCATCAAAGAACAATAAAGTTTCAAGAGAATCAAGAAGGACTAAAAGGGTTTCAAGGTCTTCGAAAATAAGTCCTTCAAAGTAGATTTTGGGCATATGAGTATGTAAACTTGACACACATCTTCTCAGTGGAATTGCTGTAGCGACAAATCTTTCCCTTGCATATTCAAGAAATGATTTGTGTATCCCGGTCTTACAATCAGTGTCCCTACAACCTTCTTTCTCTTGGTCTTCGTCTTCTCTACCATGTTCCCTCTCTTTGGTTGATTCATTTTCCAAGAAAATATGGTACTGAAGGACACAATCTTCAAGAAAAGTAATCATTGAAGTGAAACAGTGCAACCAACCAAGTGGCCCAAGGCAGTCCTGAAGTTGTTTCACACGATAATCCAGAAATATTTCTTCAATCTCAGAATCAACTTTAAGTCTCTCTTTGCTGCCAAATAGAAGGATGTCTCCCAAGGAACAAAACCGATCATCTAATACAGAGCATGTTTTGTTAGCTTCTTTTACCAGATTTAAGACACGAGAAGCTAGTTCTGTAACTGCAACATTTGTCGGGGCGCAAGTAAGTGTCCTATACTTCATTCCCAAGAATGCAAAGAGCATCATACCAACTGTTTTTGTTTTCCCAGTTCCCGGTGGCCCCCAAATAAGTTCCACATGAGACTTGTGTTTGCACTGTACTTTGTCGAGACAAGCAATGGTCGACCTTTTTTGTGACTCATTCAGTTGAGACAGAAAACTTGTCAGAAAATTCTCATTCCAGTTTCCACCAATATCAGAGGAACAGAACCTGCAGCTTTCAGCTACCTGCATACAACATGAAATTTTATAAAATTAAATCCTGCAAATACATAAAAAATAAAGTAATAACATTAAAATTGAATATTTGAAACCGATTATGCAATGAAAAACTCATGGTACATATATTGAGTTGGACACATGCAAGGTCTCAGCTTGTTAACACAATGAATAATCATATTGCAAGATGCTTAATAAACAGCCTTTTGCATCATAAGCAACCACTAGTTATGAAAAGCAAATACAAACTATACAATACAATGCCACATTCACAGAAACAAATCACAAACATATAGGTAAGGTGATAATAGCATACCACAGAATCAGTGTGCAAAACCTCACTGATAATGGCCAAGTTTCTCTGCATGTGCAGTGCATTCCATATTCGTCTAGATGTGGTTACATTTGTCACTTGAACAACATATAGTGATTTCGGCATCTCATAAAAAACATCTTCCAGTGTTTTAACTTCGAAGGACACAGTTGAGCTATTATCTCCATTATCACCCTCATAGTCATCATTTGGAATATACGAGACCAGGGAAAAAATCCATGTTTTTCCAACCCTTTGTAAATCAGAAGCAGTTTCAGGTTTCACATCAGATATGATTAAAATATCTCCCGGCAACGTTTTATACGGCTCCTTCTCATGATCACTGAACCTGTTTCTCCAGTAATCAACATTCACATCAAATGTTTTATACGGATCCTTCTCATGATCACTGAACCTGTTCCTCCTGTAATCAACATTCACATCAAACAAAGATGCCCCATGCGATTTCGCCTCATTAAGATAAGTCACTTCAGCATATGGTGCTCTATCTATAATTTCCATAGACGAACACATATCAGCTCGTGTCTCTTCAAATAAAGGCAAAAGATAGGCCCCAAAATATTGTTCCACCGACTGAAACGAAGCTGGAATCTTCTCCATCTAGCAATCAAGATCAAATTAAACAAATCAAATTTTTCATTTATAACAGTCAACAGACTAATAATTAAGAGGGAAGAAGAAGTTACAAAATTTGTTACTAGTAATATTCTGATCCACTACCTAGGTAAGCAATATGCCACTTTTGGCTAGTAAAAACTACATACAAAAGCACATATTCCAGTAAACTGGTACAGCTAAGTTTAAATATTTAAGAGAGAGTGTCAACTTCCATTAAAGAGTAAGATATTCCAGAAACTGCAAAATAACCCCACAAATAATGTCTAACAAACGAAGAACATCAAAGATTCAAATATGATGATGAGAATCACGAAAGAGAGCAAAGCAAACCCACCTGACCCTTATAAAGATCATCATTGAAGATGTCTTCAAGGGTCCATTGAAACACGGTATCAATGAATCCCATAATTTTTTTAGTCGATGCAGTCTGCTCACTTGAATCTTTACGACCAATCTTTTCCTCTGAATATCTGTTGTAAACAAACAAAGTTAGAAACCCACAGAAAAACAAAACAAAACAAGAGTGCTGGGTTTCTTAGCACCAAAGAAAGAATAGAAGAATGTTTATCAGGCATTAACATACATTATCAAGCTGCGCTTAACGCTTTCACCAGTGTCTTAGACTTTATATCTTCAAATGATATTGAAGAAACCTTAAAAAAGAAGAAAAGGAAAATGGTTCTTATCGTATCCTCTGGTCCTCGCTTTTGCTGACTATAAAAGTCTCCTCGAATCCTTTTGCTTTTTCCTTTTTAATCTTTTAAAGGACAACCATTTCCCTACTCATAGAGCTCTGATCTGACGTTTCATATTTTCTTCCATTGTAAGTCTTTATTGCAAAAACACACGATTTTCGCCACGTAAAAATATTTACAGGATCGGGCGGAAGAAATTGACGAAAGCGAACCCATCGTACAAGCAGTGTTGAACAATGATGATCATCCTCACCAAGCCTTTGCTCGTTGCTGACTATTAAAGGTCACCTTTTTTGTTTTTTCAAGGACAACCTACTTTTAAATCCATGTATATATTTATTGGAATCTTATGATATTATTGCTATAGACTCTTATGTTGAATTTGTATACTCGATTTATATTTATGAATAATTTTTTACGTCGTTTGAGTTTAATATATGATTTGTCGATGGTTTTTTAATAGTTTGATTCTCTTTTGTAGTTTGTTTGTTCATACAATCAGATTTGTTTATATGTATTTTTGTTCGAGTTTCTTGGTTAAATTTAATATTTCTTTATACTGTTCTTATGTAATCTTAAGTTACTATAGTTCGTTTGTCCATACGATCAGATTTGTTTATATGTATTTTTGTTCGAGTTTCTTGGTTAAATTTAATATTTCTTTATACTGTCCTTATGTAATCTTAAGTTACTAGTTTTGTTTTAATGGTTATAAATTTTTTTCTAATTACGTATTTAATTTACGACTGTGATTGTAAATATTTATTGTAATTTTTTTTTATTTTTGAATATATAAATTATGGAATCAATATGATTTCTCTACCAATTAGATTAAACATTTTGAATATCAACAATTTTAAAATTATATATTTAAAGATTATCATTTTAAAATAAAATAATCAATTAAATATTTTAACTTATTTTAAATTTAACATGTATCGTTTTTATTATTTTTCAACTTTGATTCTTCACTATTTAAAATTTATTATTGATAAAAATATAAAAAATGTATTTTATAAAATGTATTTGTTTAAAATATTTAAAATAATCATGTTCAAAATTTAAATATTTTGAATTTTTAAAAAATCAATAAGAGATGAAAAAAAATCAAAATAAAACTATGAATTAACCAAAAATAAATTATATAAAAGACTTGCATAAACATATTAATTTTAAATTGACAAAGGTGATGTATATGGGGCGTTTGGTTTTTGTCTCCAAGACAATACGTAGTGGGGGAACCACCGTGTTTTTCGTTGTGTCAGACGAATGGTTTAAACAATATTTTGGAGAAGGCTAGTGGGGCGCAAGCGGGCGCTGTCGGGGAATCGTGCGCAGCTTTGGAAGGTAATGGGATCGATGAGCAGCTTTGGTCTGTTGGAAATAAAACATTCACACAAACAACTTTTATTGAAACTCAAACAAATATTACAAGAACACTCTCACTCAAAAATAAGAACTACAACTCACTCTTATAAGACTTTGATTCTTCACTCACTTATAAGCTCTTAATTTTTCTTGATACTTAAAACTAAAATGGGAAGTGATATTTATACTACTCAAGAACAATCCTACACCACACAAATAAACTAATTTAAATCATTACAAATTCAACAAATATTTAACTCTCACCTAACTAAATTGATGTAAGCAATGACATCATTACTTAAATGATGTAAGCAATGACATCTTTAATTAAATGATGTAAGTAATGATATCAATTTAGTTTGGGTTTGGGTTTAGGCTCCCATAATGGATCAAGTTTATGATCCAACACCCCCCTTCAACTTGATCTCGTGACCCCTAGTAGGTTCCTTAATCTTAAGAAGTCTTCGTTGGTCAGTGGCTTGATAAAAATATCAGTAACTTGATCTTGTGACTTCACGTATTCAACTTCCACATCTTTTCTTGCAACACACTCCCTTATATAGTGGTAGCGAATATCAATGTGCTTGCTTCGATCATGGAATACTGGATTCTTCGCTAAGGCAATGGCTGACTTGTTGTCGACACAAACCTTGGTAGGCTTTTCTTGTATCAAACCAATCTCCTTCAATAGATTTCTAAGCCAAATTGCATGACAAACACATGAGGTAGCAGCAACATATTCCGCTTTACAAGTGGACAATGTGACAATCGGTTGTTTCTTTGACATCCATGTGACCACAATATCTCCCATGAAAAATACGAATCCAGTAGTGCTCATTCGATTATCTATGTCTCCACCCCAATCACTGTCGCTATATCCAACAAGCTTGTAATCATTAGAAACTGAATAGAACAAGCCAAAGTCAATTGTACCTTTCAGATAGCGAAGAATTCTCTTTGCGGCTTTAAAATGGGTGGTTGTTGGAGATTCCATGTAGCGACTAACCAATCCAACTGCATGAAGAATATCGGGTCTCGTGCAAGTTAGATAGCGTAGACTTCCTACCAAACTTTTGAAGAATGTTGGATCTACACTTTCGCCTTCTTCATGTTTGGTCATCTTGATCCCGTATTCTGCCGGTGTGCTTATTGGCTTACAGTTCTCCATTCTTGAACTTCTTCAGTATCTCCTTTGCATAGCTTTCCTGTGAAATGAAAATTCCATCATTTTTTTGCTTAACTTCAATGCCAAGGTAGTACGCCATGAGCCTCATGTTTGTCATCTCGAATTCTTTCATCATCACATCCTTGAATTCATTAAACATGCTTGGGTTACTTCCAGTGAAGATCAAATCGTCCACATAGAGGCACACGATCAAAATATCTTCATCTTTGATCTTGTTATATAGAGCATGCTCGTAGGGACATTTGTTGAAGCCATTCTCTTGGAAGTACTTGTCGATTCGGCTATTCCATGCCCTTGGTGCTTGTTTTAGCCCGTAAAGAGCCTTCTTCAACTTCAACACCTTGTCTTCAATGCCCTTTGACTTCATAGCCTGATGGTTGCTGAATGTAAAGTTCCTCTTCAAGAACTCCATTTAGGAAGGCAGACTTTACATCCATCTGTTGTATCTTCCACTTGTTTTGAGCTGCCAAAGAAATGATTAGTCTGATAGTCTCCAATCGAGCAACAGGAGCAAATACTTCATCATAGTCAATTCTAGCCTTTTAACTATAGCCTTTAGCAACTAGCCTCGCCTTGTGCCTTTCAATCTCTCCTTTGGCGTTTTGCTTTGTTTTGTACACCCATTTGACACCTATCGCCTTATGTCCCTTGGGAAGTGAGGTAAGTTCACATGTGTCATTCTTCTCGATGGCCTTGATTTCTTCATCCATCGCATCTCTCCATTTCTTTTCTTGTACCGCTTCTTGAAAGCTCACTGGTTCACAATCGGCAAACAGACAAAATAATGTAAGATTATCTTGTCATTCAGTTACCTCATAGAGATCTCTAAGGCTTCTTGTGCGTTGCACAACTCTTTCACTTTGACTCCCACTTGACGATGACGAAGATGATGAGTCTCCTTGAGTGGTTGATGTTGGTGAAGTGGGTGGAGTTGCAAGCTCTTGTTGAGATTCATCTAGTTGTTCCCTCATTGTCTGCTCATCTTCTTTAAACTGAGGAAAGAAATTGAAGTCATCTGTATGAGAGTTAAAATCCCATTCTTCTTCTTCGTTGAAGACCACATCTCGACTAATCACAAACTTCTTATTGTCTGGATTGTACAACTTGTAGCCCTTCGAATTAGCATCATAGCCGATGAAGATAAAACTCTCGCTTTTATCATCAAGCTTCGTTCTTCTCTCGTATGGTACGTGAACATGGGCTATACTTCCAAAGGTTCTCAAGTGGGAAATGCCAGGCTTTCTTCCACTCCATGCCTCTTGTGATGTCTTTCCCCATACACTTCTTGTTGGAGATCGGTTTGACAAGTAGACTGCACACGATACTGCTTCCGCCCAAAATTCTTTGGGTAGTTTCTTGCTTTTGAGCATGCTTCGTGCCATGTCGAGGATTGTTCTGTTCTTTCTTTCTGCCACACCATTTTGCTGGGGGGATCTAGGAATTGTCATTGGTCGACGAATTCCATTTGCTTCACAGAACTCTTGAAACTCCCTGGAAGTAAATTCTCCACCTCGATCGGATCTCATGACTTTGATCTTTCTACCACTTTCTCTCTCCACTGCTGCTTTGAACTTCTTGAAGACTTCAAAAACTTCTGACTTCTGTTTCAAGAAATATACCCAGGTTTTTCTTGAAAAATCATCAATGAAGAGAAGAAAATAGTTACTGTTACCGAGAGAGCTTGGCTTGATCGGTCCACACACATCAGTATGAATGAGCTCAAGTGGCTTCTTAGCTCTTGTCTCTGACTCCTTTAGAAAGCTTTTCCTGAATTGTTTCCCGACTAGACACCCTTCACAAAGCTGGTCAGGATGGTTGATGTGAGGTAGTCCCTTCACCATCTCCTTCTTAGATAACAGCTCTAGACCTCCAAAATTGAGATGCCCAAATCGAAGATGCCAAAGCCATGATGCATCTTTGTAGCAAGCTTTCAGGCACTTTGCAACATCATTTTGTATGTTGATCAAGAACATTCTATTCTTTGACATCGGCACTTTAGCAATGAAGTTATTCTTATCATCTTTTATAGAAAGATTATAATTATTCACATGAATATCATAACATTTCTCTACCAGTTGCCCTAAACTTAAAATGTTACTTTTCATATTGGGCACATAGTAGACATTTGAAATAAATTGATGTCTCCCATCTTTCAAACGGATAAGAATGTTACCTCTCCCTTTCACTGCTATTGTGGAATCATCTCCAAACAAAACATTTCTGCTTACTGACTCGTCTAGCTCCACAAACATGTCTTTCCTTCCACACATGTGATTGCTTGCACCACTGTCAAGATACCAGGAATTTGCTTGGCCACCATCAGTTTCCTTTCGTGCTAGAAGAAGAGTTTCTTTGCCATCTGTCTTTTCCTCCATGTAATTGGCCTTCTCCTCAATTTTGTTGTTGGGAACTCTACATTCTGAAGCATAATGCCCAGATTTTTGACAATTATAACATCGAATTTGAGATTTGTCATACTTTGAGTTTGGATTAATTCTTCCACGGCCTCGTGTTGAGCTTTCTCCTTTCTCATAGTTGTTGTTGGAATTGTTATTGTTGTAATTCCAGCCTCGTCCATGACCTCGACTTCCACCTCGTCCATGGCCTCTATCTCTACCTTGGCCACGTTGGTTTTCTATCATTGTGTTGGCTCTCATGCATATCCTTGAGTTGCAGCTTGAGGAGTTGCTCAGTAAACTCATGCTTCTTCTTATGCTTCTCTTCGTATGCTTGCAATGATCCTTGGAGCTGCTCGATCTTCATTTCTTCCAAGTCTTTAGTTTCTTCAATCGTCACGACGATGTGTTCAAATTTGGGATCCAACGAACGGAGTATCTTCTCTATTATCCTCACATCGTCTAACTTTTCACCATTTCTTTTTAATTGATTAGAAACAGCTACTACTCTTGAGAAATAATCTGAAATAGACTCAGATGCTTTCATGTTTAAGGATTCGAATTCACCTCTTAATGTTTGGAGACGAACCTTCTTCATTTGTTCAGATCCTTTGTAAGAGGTTTGCAGCTTCTCCCACGCTTCCTTGCTAGAGCTTGCACTTGAAATCTTTTAAAAACCATCATCATCTAATGCTTGATAGATGAGGTAGAGAGCATTCTTGTCTCTCTTTCTTGAATCCTTCAAAGTTTTCGTTTGATCTGGTGTAAGAGTAGCAAAAGCATCATCATCCGCAGGCTCGTTATAGCCTTTCTCTATGATATCCCACACATCTTGTGATCCAAGAAGTGCCTTCATTTTGATACTCCAATTGTCGTAGTTGTTGTTGTTGAGTGTCGGAACTTGGAATGGTGCCATACCATTTTCCATATCTCTCAATATAATGAGATTTTGTAAAATCCGATTGAACGAATGAATCCGGAACGCCGAAAAAACCTTGGGAGGGACTTGGACAACTCGGTCAAGGGCTCAAACTCGGCTGACTCGACTCAACTCAATTTTTTGGCAGTAGTCTTCCGACGGTGCGTGGCGGTGCGTCAGAACTCAGATTGAGAAAATTCTGGCGGCGTCAGATTCATCTCGTCGAGACCTTCGATCTTTCCAACCTGGCTCTGATACCACTTTGTTGGAAATAAAACACTCACACAAACAACTTTTATTGAAACTCAAACAAATATTACAAGAGCACTCTCACTCAAAAACAAGAACTACAACTCACTCTTATAAGACTTTGCTTCTTCACTCACTTAGAAGCTCTTAATTTTTCTTGATACTTAAAACTAAAATGGGAAGGGGTATTTATACTACTCAAGAACAATCCTACACCACACAAATAAACTAATTTAAACCATTACAAATTCAACAAATATCTAACTCTCACCTAACTAAATTGATGTAAGCAATGACATCATTACGTAAATGATGTAAGCAATGACATCTTTAATTAAATGATGTAAGCAATGATATCAATTTAGTTTGGGTTTGGGTTTAGGTTCCCATAATGGATCAAGTTTATGATCCAACAGGGTCTGCTGTTGGTCTATCGAATAGGGCCTTAGATGTTAGTAGCGGGAGTTTGGTTCTATGCCAGCCCAAGGTTGGTTCCATCAATCTAAGTAATGAGATGATGACCAATAGAATTAAAAGGAAGTATATGAAATTTGGCTCTTTATTGGATATTCAGGAGAAAGTTCTTTCGAAAGCTGAGAAAAATAGAAGAGATCGAGCATTGAAGAGATTAAATTTGTTGAAACCTGATCTTAATTCCTCTGAATTATCTGATAGTTCTCTGTCAGATTCGGATTTGAAGAAAATATAGACTGCTTACGTTGATAAGTGAGAAAATTCTTCGGTAGTTAGTCGTCGTTCTCCAATCATTAGATTTTTTTGGAGTTTGGTGCGCGATTGTCGGGGACGGTCTTTTCAGAGGTATTAGATTGGTTGAGCCAATTTCTTTACTCTCTTAATAGGTTGAGGTGATGCGGTCTGTTCGTGGTGTTAATGATTGATTTATTGATGTTCGTTGAGTAATCCTTTCTTCAAGTTTTGGAGGCTTTCGTAGATGTTGGGTTCTCCTCGTTGCTATAGCAATAATGGCTCCATCATTTTATTCTTCTGGTTGTTCGTTCTGGAGCTACTGGATTTGTAGTCTGGAGTCCCGCCAGATCATTGTGTGGTCAGTGAAGTCCGAGGTTTTTCTTTTTATGTTGTATTTGTGGTGTTTTGCTTAAGTCCTTGACGCATGAGTTTTTGTGGCTAGTTGTTTCTGCTGTCTTTCCACATGTGTTCCATTATGGATGGTTGTAGTTCCTCGTTTGAAGCTTATTGCTTCTCTTCAGGCTTGATGTTTCTTGGTAGTCTGTTTAAGACATTGTAGTTCCTTTGTAGCATGGGTAGCATTATTTTGAGGGTCAGATTGGATTGCTTTATTGTTTGATGTAATTGAGAGCTTTGGCTTTCGTTTTATTCCACCTCATGGTACACTCTTTTTCCTCCAAATAGGTTTAGGGAGGTTTTTTAATGAGGTTCATGGGGTGGTGTACCTTGTATATTTTCAATACAAATTACTCATCTTTCAAAAAAAAAGTGATAGATACATATTTTCAAAATGAAAAAAAAAATAACATATAAAGAAGTAAACAAATCCTTTATATCGAGGCCATGCACACGTATCGGAAAGAAGTATTACAGCAACTACTTTACACTCGAAAGAAAATATGGAAGAAAACACATAATGAAAGAAACTAGTTAACACGGCTGCAAATCCTTCTTATTATCCCAGCTGAACCCGTTAAAGGCTCGATGTCTCCCATCTTGACCATAGCGGAAGCGAAATCGGAGCTGAAAGTTGAAGGGTTCCTGCTGTACTCGTTCACTATGCTATCTGTGGATCCACCGCTGAACAGCGCTTGATCCGACTGCAGAAGACCCCTCCTCTGCAACAGGTTCCTGAAGTAGTTGTTTTCAAAGGAATTCGGTGTCACCAAATCGAGCGGTGCCAGATTCCCATTGCCGTCGGGGGAAGTAGCCGAACAATTTTGTCTCCGTGTGCTGGCAAACCCGGCGTCGGTGTCGCTCCCGTTGCTGTATATTCTGTCCCGGAACGTTACGCATTGAGCTTGTCCTATGGTGTGAGAACCTGCGGACATGGTTTCACTTATAACCTCAGTACTTATCAGTGTTTGTTTACTAAGAAAATGGAAGTGTTTTTTCTAGGATTTTGGTGAACAAACCTGACAAAGCAACCATGTCTCTTTCTGTGAGGCCCTTGTTTTCGAATAGATCGATAAGGCTCCGAAGATCAGCTGTGAAACGAGGGAGGTCTCTGCTTGCCAAACTCGCGCTTGCATCGGTGGAGTCTCTTCTTCCAAGTCTCACTGTCCACGATAGACCACCTACCTGAATTGTTTCAATAGATATTTCAATCACTTAAGATATTTGTATATTTATGTTTGTATCATTGTATGTAGCTATGACTTACGTATTCAGAGGCATCTCTGGAAGCAACTGCGAGAATATCAGCACAAGATACGACTCCAGGGCAAACATTTTCGACTGCAGATTTAGCCTGATCGATAACCTCAAACCCTCGTACCGAGTTATTATTTTGAATCACAAACTTCTCGCTGGTTATCGAAGGGGAATTGTCAAGTAAGATCTAAGCATCACAGCCCTGGATAAACCAACGGAAGCAATCCATTAAATACAAACCATGCATGCAATTTATCGTAACATACGTGTATATATGAACATATAATTACGCAAGTACCTGAACAAAGCAATCATTGGAAATGAAGTCGAATAAGAGAGGCAGACATTCTACGTTCTCTTAAAATGGCTGATCTGATGGATGTGCGAATGGTACTGAGTCCATTCGGGCATCTTTCGGCGTAAAACGTAGAAGAAAGCTGTGCTTGGCACGTGCTGAAGCTCAAAGCCAGCACCATCGCCATTGCAGCGGCTCTAAACATTGCAGAGGCCACCATTTTAATTTATTTTTTTCACTAACGAAAACGAAAGCTGGCTAAGTTGAAACGAGAAGGCAGAGTTGATGACGAAAGAGGTGGTTGCTAGCTGGAGCTCTATTTAAAGAGTATTTTGGAAAGGGTTAGGCTTTTGGTCACCGTTTTCCGCCGTATCATGGTTGTACTTAACGAATTTTTCAATTCCGCAGCCGCTGACTTTATAAATATGACGCGTTCGTATTTGGCTTGCATGGCGTGTGTTACTTTGTAATTGTATTGAACGTGGAAAAACCTTTTGAGATAACTATTTTTAATTCATGTGTCACTTTAATGAATAAGTTGATGTAAAAATAAATTCATGTGTATAAATGACATGAAAAATATATTGATGTGATTATTTTGTATATATTTGTGATTGTTTTGGTGTTTACACAAAAACCATCACAATATCTATTTTTTGATTGATTTATCGGTGGTTATATATAGTTAAATCCTCTTTACGTAAAGTGTTTCATTCGACATAGACAAAAAAATTATGATAGTAAATGGATTATTTTTTATGTTGATCATCATTCTCAACGGAAGGTTTTATTTTTCTTCGTGCCTTTGAATTTAATATTTTTTTTATAATTTTGTATGAAATCAAATTGCCGTTGTTAAAAAAATATTTTACATAATTTATTTATCAAATAATATTTTACAGATTTGCATGCCAATATTTTTGTTGAAGACATGCCATTAAAATTTATTGAAGGATTACAGCAACTACAGTACACTTGAAACGATTTGAGGGAAACACATAATCATAGAGATAAACATATAAGACTAGCATCAAACTAGTTAACACGGCTGCAAATCCTCCTTATTATCCCAGCTGAACCCGTTAGAGGTTCGATATCTCCCATCTTGACCATGGCGGAAGCGAAATCTGAGCTGAAAGTCGAAGGGTTCCGGCTGTACTCGTTCACTATGCTATCCGAGGAACCACCGCTGAACAGTACTTGATCCGACTGCAGAAGACCCCTCCTCTGCAACAGGTTCCTGAAGTAGTTGTTGTCGAAGGAATTCGGTGTCACCAAATCGAGCGGTGCCAGATTCCCGTCGCCGTCGGTAGCCGGACAGTTACGTCTACGTGTTGCGGCGAAACCGGCATCGATGTCGCTGTCGTTACTGTATATCCTACCCCGGAATGTAGCGCATCGAGCTTGTCCGATGGTGTGAGAACCTGACAGAGCAACCATGTCTCTTTCATTCAGGCCCTTGGTTTCGAACAGATCGATAAGCCTTTGAAGACCGTCTGTGAAACGGGGAAGGTCTCTGGTGGCTAGACTCGGGCTTGCAGTGGTGGAGTCTCTTCTTCCAAGATTCACTGTCCACAATGGACCACCTACCTGAATATATATATATATATATATATATATATATATATATATATCTTAAATCAGTATATATACACACATATATTTATATAATTATATGTATGTATGTATGTAGCAGATAGCAATGACTCACGTATTCAGAGGCATCCCTGGCAGCAACCGCGAGAATATCAGCACAAGACACAACTCCAGGGCAAACGTTTTCGACTGCAGATTTAGCTTGATCGATAACCTCAAAGCCTCGTACCGAGTTGTTATTTTGTGGTACGAATCTTTCGCTGGTGATTGAAGGGGAATCCTCCAGTAAGATCGAGGCATCACAACCCTGAATAAACCACACGAAATACGCCATTAAAAACCCAAACCATGCATGCAATTTATCGTAACATACGTGTTTATATGAACATATTACACAAGTACCTGAACAAAGCAATCATGGAAATGAAGCCGGATAAGAGAAGCAGCCATTCTACGTTCCCTTGCAATGGCTGATCTGACGGATGTGCGAATGGTACTGAGTGCATCGGGGCATGTTTCAGCATAAAAAGTAGGAGAAAGCTGCCCTTGGCACGCGCTGAAGCTCAAAGCCAGCAGCATCACCATAGCAGCAGCTCTAAACATTGCAACTGCCTCCATTTTTTTCCCCTAACGAAAACGAAAGGTAGCTTAAGATGAAAATGAGAAGAAAGGGTGATGATAAAAGAGCTTGTTGCTGAAGCTCTATTTATAGACTATTCTGGGTTTAGGGTTAGACTTGGATGAAGTTTGTATTGGTCCTTGTTTTCTGCCATATCCTGGCTGTAATCATCGAGTTTTTCAATTTTTGCAGCCGATGACTTTTCGAATATGATCCATTCGTATTTGCCTTGCATGGCGCGTTCATGTATCTTACGTTGGACCAGGAAAATTCCATCAGATAATTGTTAGTGACAAAAGTGTAGGGAAAAGTCGTCATTCTTACTGTGACTTGTAAGCTTATCCGGCTACGGATGATTACCTGGTAAACTACAGATGGGTTTTTTTTAACAAAAAATAAATAACTTATTCAACATATTATCATCACCGTTCAAATATATAAAACTTATATATTAAATATAGAAATCAATTTATGAATGGTGATTAAAAATATAGGAACTAAATAATTACCCATTTATAAATTCACTCATCGAAAAGGGCAATGTATTCAACATAAATCTAGTACTAAAGTTTGGATATTGCCTTGATTAAGATATTAGTAGACTGCACGTCTCTTTGTTTGTCAAATCACCAAAATTCTAACACCACCAAATTATTACAATTTTGTTTTGTTTCCTTCCTGTTTCCAAAGTTTTGCATTGACTAATTCATATTGACCCAGTTTAATTTGCACACATGATTATGGTGGGTGAGTTTTAACGAAGATTTTCTGCATACACAAAGACTCGAACTCGAGACTTGCTTAAATGATATCAAGTTGCTCAGCACTTGAACCAACCCCGTTGGTATCAAATTATTACAAATTTGACTTCTGTATTGTGTGATTCATGTGGGTTTGGTATTTTTTTAATTAACTACTCAATGTTCACTAATCTATTGATTAATGAATTTAGATCGAGTTTTGCAGAGATCTATCACGATGACGAATATCTCAATTCAATTTATTCTATCCGTAATTGTCAAAATTCAAATTCATGATCTTACTTAAGGAATCATGGAGTTTCTGGTTAAAATTAAGGTCTTAGGTCTAGGTTTCTTCGAAGGGAAAATGTAATAGTTATGAAATGAAGACGTTAGATTCTAATTGTTAAGTTATTAATTAAAATTTAAAACTTAAGGGCATAGGTCTAATTTTAAATTTTGAAAGAATCTAAAAAGTAATTAAACTAGAAAGTTAGGGTCAATACGAAATTTTACTAAATTAAAACTGTGAGGGCCTGAGAAGTATTTAAATTGAAAGATGGGGTCAAAGCTCAATTCCACTTTCAAAATTACGAAGGACCTAACAAACAATTAACCCCAAAAAACATCCACCCCTAATTGAACAGTTTCTTAACATTTTATGGGCTTGCATGGCGAGTTACTACATCTTACGTAGGACGTGGAAAATTTATTGGAGATAAATATTATTAGTCAAATGTATCGGAAAAGTCGTCGCCTGGAATATTATTCATGTAAAACAGATTACTGGCGGCGGCCCACATTTATCTTTTTATCCTCAACGGTCGCCATTAGAATATCCCAATGTTTTAAAGTAGTAAAGTGTTGAAATGCTAAATGTTGATTAGTAAAAATGCTAATTATAATACAATGTTAGTGTATAATATATATATATATATATGAAATGACCATCCAACTCAGTTGGCAAAGCACAAAGTTCTTAATCTTGAAGTCGTGAGATCGAGTCCCATGGAAGGCATTTCATAATTTGTTCAAAGTTTTTAAAAATAATTCAAAATTCAGTAAACTAGAATTTGAGAACAAAACTGATTTTCAAAGTACTAAGTACCGATAATGTTCATACAGTATCGATACTATATGAACAGTACCGATATTGTTCATGTGGTACTGATACCAAAGGTAAGAGAAGTATCAATACTCTCAAGGTAGTATCAATACTACCAGCTTGACCAAATTCTAGAATACAAAATAAGTATCGTTACCCAAAGGGATATCGATACTACTTTACATAGTCGTATTGATACCATGAGCATAGCATCGATACCGTCAGGCCCAACAGCTAGTTTTATTTAAAAATAACAAATGAATGAAGTACCGATACTCATTAAAGGAGTACTGATACTCCTTGTCTTGGACAGTTTTATTTAGCATATAAAACAACCTCAACGGCTAGAAACGGCCACAAACACATTTCAACCTATAAATACAAGTTCAAGACACTTGAAGAAGGTTACCAACACCTATCCAAACATTTAAACACAAGAGAAACGTTTTTCACGCTTTATTTTATTTCTCTTGTAAATATTTGTGTTTTTTTTAGCTTTAATTTTGTAAACACCTGCCTTTTAGGGGTTTCTTTGTTTACTTTCTTTTCTTTTTGTAAAGGGGTTTTGGTTCTAGCTAAACTTTTGAAAAGCTAGGGAGTTTGTAAAGGTTATCTCTTTATCTTTGAGAAAGAAAGAACAAATTAGTGGATTTGTTGGAAAATCCTAAGTGATGAGCTTAGGTAGTGGATGTAGACTTGGTTGAGAAGTCGAACCACTATAAATCATTGTGCAAATTTTCCTATCATTTATACTCCTTACTCCCTAAACTCAAAAAACCAATTCACCCTGTATTGACAATTTTCGGTTGTCAATTTGAGCTTCATCGAATCCTAACATATATATATATATATATATATATATATATGTTGGATTAAAATCCGTAATTTGTGGATACATGATGTTATTACAAGTGTTAAGAAAATAAAAGTGTAGATGCGAACGAAGCCAAGATTAAATTATGAAAATAAATTTGAACAAATGAGATATCTAAAATTGAATAAATCATAAAAATTGAATGAATTATAGTTTAATTTCACTAATTTTAAAATTAAAATCTTTTAAATAGTAATTAAACAAAAAAAATAAGAAGTCAAAATTTCATTTAAAATTAAAAGGGTCCTGAAATATAATTAAATCGGTTAAATTCGAGAGGCGCAATGACTTAATTATACTAATGATTTCAGTAATATTAGTGATCAAAGTTGAGGGGCAATTTCCCCTCTCACATCCCATGTAATCCCGTCTTTGAGTGTATATATAATAAATTGTATTTATAATTTAATAGGAGACGAAATTATAAATGCTTATTATCTGATTCAATATTTTGTTTATAGGGTAGTAGCGGTCCGAAGAAATAGATTAACTTATATTTTTTTTATCTCTGTTAAAGAGTTATTATGAAAAAGAACAAGTATATCTTCTTGGTAGATCATAACCACCTTCTTAGAGATCTCCGTAATTTAATTCAGATATGCTTTGTAAATTTAGTATTATAATTCATTATTGATGATTTGACATAATTAGATCTTTAAATTAATTTTATATAAATTATATTTTGATTCTAATAATTAATTGCGATATAATAGTTGTTTAAATTTAATTATTTAGATTTTTAAAAATTACTTTTAATAAATATAAAATAATAAGAAATTACTATTCTAATGATCCAAACGATGGATTTTATTTTTAAATGTTACCATAACTATTATAAAAAATTATATATTTAATAATAATTTTAATTACAGTTAAGAATGTTATATGAATTTTTTGATGATAAGATTTTTATAGTAATATTCTATTTTTTTTTTATAAACATGTGAATTGTCACAGTTGATGAATTATCATTTGTCACTGATAATTATCTCAAAATTAATGCCTTTCCACGTCCAACACAAGATACGGTAAACACGCGCCATGCAAGCCAAATACGAATGCGTCGTGTTTATAAAGTCAGCGGCTGCGGAATTGAAAGATTCGTTAAATACAGCCATGATACGGCGGAAAATGGTGATCAAAAGTTCTACCCTTTCCAAAATACTCTATAAATAGAGCTACAGAAACCACCTCTTTCATCATCAACTCTTCCTTCTCGTTTCAACTTAGCCAGCTAGCTTTCGTTTTCGTCAGTGAAAAAAAAATAGAAAATGGTGACCTCTGCAATGTTTAGAGCTGCTGCAATGGCGATGGTGCTGGCTTTGAGCTTCAGCGCGTGTCAAGCACAGCTTTCTTCTACGTTTTACGCCGAAACATGCCCGAATGCACTCAGTACCATTCGCACATCCATCAGATCAGCCATTGCAAGAGAACGTAGAATGGCTGCCTCTCTTATTCGACTTCATTTCCATGATTGCTTTGTTCAGGTACATATGTAATATGTTCATATATACATACGTATATGACAACAAATTTCATGCATGGTTTGTATTTAATGGAGTCTTCCGTTGGTTTATCCAGGGCTGTGATGCTTCAATCTTACTGGACAATTCACCTTCGATCACTAGCGAAAAGTTTGTGATTCAAAATAATAACTCGGTACGAGGGTTTGAGGTTATTGATCAGGCTAAATCTGCAGTCGAAAATGTTTGCCCTGGAGTTGTATCTTGTGCTGATATTCTCGCAGTTGCTGCCAGAGATGCCTCTGAATACGTAAGTCATAGCTACGTACATTGATACAAACATAAATATACAAATATCTTAAGTGATTGAAATCTCAATTGAAACAATTCAGGTAGGTGGTCCATCGTGGACAGTGAGACTTGGAAGAAGAGACTCCACCGATGCAAGCGCGAGTTTGGCAAGCAGAGACCTTCCTCGTTTCACAGCTGATCTTCGGAGCCTTATCGATCTGTTCGGAAACAAGGGCCTCACAGAAAGAGACATGGTTGCTTTGTCAGGTTTGTTCACCAAAATCCTAGAAAAAAACACTTCCATTTTCCTAGTAAACAAACACTGATAAGTACTGAGGTTATAAGTTAAACAATGTCCACAGGTTCTCACACCATAGGACAAGCTCAATGCGTAACGTTCCGGGACAGAATATACAGCAACGGGAGCGACATCGACGCCGGGTTCGCCAGCACACGGAGACGCAATTGTCCGGTTACTTCCCCCGACGGCAATGGGAATCTGGCACCGCTCGATTTGGTGACACCGAATTCCTTTGACAACAACTACTTCAGGAACCTGTTGCAGAGGAGGGGTCTTCTGCAGTCGGATCAAGTTCTGTTCAGCGGTGGATCCACAGATAGCATAGTGAACGAGTACAGCAGGAACCCTTCGACTTTCAGCTCCGATTTCGCTTCCGCTATGGTCAAGATGGGAGACATCGAGCCTTTAACGGGTTCAGCTGGGATAATAAGAAGGATTTGCAGCCGTGTTAACTAGTTTCTTTCATTATGTGTTTTCTTTCATATTTTCTTTCAAGTGTAAAGTAGTTGCTGCAATGATTCTTTCTGATAATAAAAAATAAATTTTAAAATAATGAAGAACCAAAATTAAAAAATAATAAAAATGTTACATGTTAAATTTAAAATAAATTATTATTAGTGACATTTTCTCCGGTGGCCATGAAAAGCAAGAGGCAACTGAACTTTTTGAAGATGCCAACTCGGTTGCCACTTCTCGCTAGTCGAATCCTTTGAAAAATAAGCCTTTTGGACTACTTTATTATTATTAGTGACATTTTCTCCGTCGGTAATAACATAGAACTCTCCAAAGTAGGTGATATGTTATATTTTATTCATTGGTTACATGTTTGACATTTCAAAGTCAATATACATCTTTAATTTATTCCGTGAAACGTTAACCAGTTACGAACATGTCACAGGATCTGATCATCATGCCTAACAAAGTAAGCAGCACCAAATTTGAACATGGTGGCTTACACAAACTCAAACGCCAAAGCAATTTGCTCCGCCGTTAGGACCGCCATCGCACGAGAGCGGAGAATGGCCGCATCTCTAATCCGCTTTCATTTCCATGATTGCTTTGTTCAGGTACTTGTGTTAGTGTAATATTTATGTATGTATGTATCGTATATATGATATCATATTATCAGCCTTGTAATTAACAAGCCTTGAAACAACTCAGGTTTGTAGCCCATCTTGGACAGCGAAGCTCGGAAGAAGAGATTCGACCACCACAAGCATGAGTGTAGCTACAAGCCAGCTTCCTCGTTTTACAGCCAGTTTCAAAGCCTCATCGACCTGTTCGGAGGCAAGGGTCTTAGCGCAAAAGACATGGTTGCACTGTCAGGTTCCCCTACCATAGGTCAAGCTCAATGTATCACGTTTCGAGGCAGGATATACAACAATGCAAGCGACATCGATGCTGGATTCGCCAGCACTCGAAGACGTCGATGCCCGGCGAATCTCGGCTATGGGGACGGGAACATGGCAGCAATGGACCTGGTGACCCCGAATTCATTCGACAACAACTACTACAAGAACCTGATGAAAAGAAGGGTCTTTTAGCTCTGATCAAGTCCTCTTCAGCGGCGGTTCCACCGACGGAATAATTAGAGTTGTACTGTATTTAAAAAATGGATAAATTACGTCTTTAGTATAAAGTATTAGTTTTGGTTGTTCTATTCAGAGCTCTGTTTATTACTTAAGTAGGGAAAATGTTGTCCTTTAAAAGATTAAAAAAAAAGGATTCGAAGAGACTTTTATAGTCAGCAAAAGCAAGAACTAGAGAATACGATCAAGACACATTTTCTTTTGATTCTTCTTTTTAAGGTTTGTTCTTTGTCATTTGAAGAATATAAAGTCCAAGAAACTGTGGTGAAAGCGTTAAGCGTTGCTTGATAATGTATGTTAGTGCTTGATAAGCATTCTTCTATACTTTCTTCGGAGCTAAGAAACCCAGCACTCTTTTTCTTTTCTTTTTTCTGTGGGGTTTTCTAACTTTTTTTTCGTTTACAACAGATACTCAGAGGAAAAGATTGGTCGTAAAGATTCAAGGGAGCAGACTGCATCGACTAAAAAATTATGGGTTTCATTGATATTGTATTCCAGTGGACCATTGAAGACATTTTTAAGATGACCTCTATAAGGGTCAGGTGGGTTTGCTTTGCTCTCTTTCGTGATTCTCATCATCATATTTGAATCTTTGATGTTCTTCTTTTATTAGACATTATTTTTGGGTTATTTTGCAGTTTCTTGAATATCTTACTCTTTAATGGAAGTTGACACTCTCTCTTAAATATTTAAATTTAGCTGTACTAGTTTACTGGAATATGTGCTTTTGTATGTATTTTTTACTAGCCAAAAGTGGCATATTGCTTACCTAGGTAGCAATATTTGAAAATGATGACAGTGAGGGTGACTATGAGGATAATAGCTCATACATGTCCTTCAAAGTAATAGTACTGGAAGAAGACGTTTATGATATGCATAAATCAGTATTTGTTGTTCACATGACAAATTTAACCACAAATCAACGAATATGGAATGCACTGCACAAGATGAGAGACTCGTCGATTGTCAACGAAGTTTTGCACACTGATTCTGCGTTATGGTATCACACTTCCTATATGTTCGAGATTTGTTTCTGTAAATTTGACATCATGTTGGATAATTTGCAATTGCTTTTCATAATTAATGGTTGCTTCTGATGCAAGTCACTGTGTTTATTAAGCATCATGCTATATGGTTATTCTTTGTGTTAACAAGTTGAGGCCTTATTTATGTACCATGAGTTTTGCATTTGATACTTTCATTTTAATGTGTTTCAATGTGACTTATTAACAGGTTTTCATATATTTATTATTATTACTTTAATTTAATGTATTTACAGGAATGATTTTATGAAATTTCATGTTGTATGCAGGAAGTGGAAAGCTGCAGGCTATGTTCATCCGAGATTGGTGGAAACTGGAATGAGAATTTTCTGACAAGTTTGCTATCTCAACTGAATGAACCGCAGCAGAAGTCAATTGTTGCTTCTTTACTCTTTTCCACTGCATGCAGTTCCTATAAACTCTATAACGTTGAAATTAATGAAACCTCTCAACGTGTTGGTAATTGACGAAGCAGCGTAGTTGAAAGAATGTGAATCGGCCATTCCCATGCAATTGCCGGGCATTGCACATGCGTTTCTTATTGGTGATGAATGGCAATTGCCTGCTACAGTTCGCAGCAATGTTTGCATATTATACTTGATTTATTGTAATAATTTTTCTCCATGGTTCTCTTGCAATCCCCCCTCCTACTTATTACCGGGCGTAACTTTATTAATTTCTTTGTAGGTTTCTAGTGAAGCTGGCTTTGGAAGAAGTCTATTTCAAAGGCTGACTACTTTGGGTCATTCCAATCACCTACTGAATATTCAGTACAGAATGTATCCTTCAATTAGTTGCTTTCCAAATGCACGGCTATACGATTACCAGATCTTGGATGCAGCCGGTGTTAAGCAGAAGAGTTACGAGAAACATTATCTTCAATGGCCTATGTTTGGCCCCTATTCCTTTATAAATGTCTCTGGAAGGGAAGCAAAGGATGATTTGGGGCGTAGCCGCAGGAATATGGTTGAGGTAGCTGTTGTGCAGATGTTGGTGCAAACTCTGTTCAAAGGTGATTATCATGAGCTTAATTTTTAATTTATATGTATATAAATATATTTATTTTTATATTTTTTGCTTTTGCATACAGCATGGAGTAGCTCAAGCGAGAGGCTCAGCATTGGCATATTATCTCCCTATGCCGCTCAGGTTGTTGTTATTCAGGAGAAGCCTGGTAAGAAGTATGAGAAAAGTGATAACTTTGAAGTTAAGGTAGGTGTTTGGGTCGTAACTGTCGTTAAATTTATCCGTTAAGCGACATGTATCACTTTTTTGCAATTTTGAAAATGTTATTTAAAAAAAATTAAAAATTATTGTATTTATTAAAAAAAAACCCTGATTTCTCTTAAGTTATATAAAAAAAACTCTAAATCCTTAAAAATCCAAAATTTCTAACCCTAATCCGCCAATGTCATCCTTGTCGGCCACGGCTAGCGTCGTCGACGCATGTAGTGATTGTCATCTTCCTAGTCATACACCGCCATACTTGTCGTCGATTGGCCGTTGGGATCGTGTGGAACGATTTAAACGTGTGTATCAAAGCAGAAACATGAATGCTATAACTTAGCTCGGATGTACAGGGGAACGATTTATTGGGCCAACATCCATGAACTCAACCAAGCCTTACAGTTATTGGGTCATCAATATATACCTCTAGCAAACTGTCGGGTTGAACCATTCCATGCCGAGAGCGAATTTTCTGTCCCGTTATTGGGTCGATAACTAGCACACGGGCGTCGAATCGAGTCTGCAAAAGGTGCAAACTGTCCTGCCCCGCCTCATCTGAATCGTCATATACATATATCCATAGAACAGTTCACAACAGCTGATATCATGTAAGAATCTTGGTGATTTGAGCACAAGAGAATCTTGAACGTTAAAGAAAGCTATGATATAAACACACAAACTAGAGTGAGAGGAGAAAAGGGTACTTGTAAAATTTATCATATTTAAACATTTTTCTTAAAATAAGGACACAAAAGAAACTAAACAAATATGTACTGAACTTGCAACACAAGACTGCCCCCATACAAAGACAGTATGTTAGAGAGAGAATCCAAAGAAAACAACGAGAATCCATACGTACCTTTGTACTTTCTTCATATTCCCTCCATTTCTCTCTTCTTTCTTCGATCCCTTAACTGAAAACTTCCATCTCCTCCGAAAAAGCGGTGACCTCTCGGCTCATGTAATATCAATTCTATCAGACCCCATCTCTTCTTGTTGGTGGTGGTACTGATTAGGTGCTAAATGAATAGAGTATTTGATGATTTATTTATGAACGGTTTGTATATTTGTTTATGTTTACCTATCATTTTTATGTTCATTTAATAAACAACAAACACAAGTATAGGCGTGTTCAGTACATTTATATTTCACAAACAAACTCGTTTTTCAACTCGATTTATCTATATTGAACACAAAATGAATTATAGAGTTCAAATTATGGAACCTGAAAAATTTAAGAACTGGTGTCGCAAATTTATCATTTCTGAACATTTAAACGCATGATCATTAGCATTAAACGAGCATATTTGCGAGCATATAAATAAATATGTTCACAATCGTTAAACGAATCAAAAACGAACATCTTCAAAATTTAAAAGAAAAAAACATGAACACAATATTATAAGTTTATACGATCACAAATCAAACACGAACATCTTCAAAAATAAATAAATAAACATATGTTCAAACTCAATTCATTTACCCAAAGTGCTGGTGCTGGTGCCCTACCCCAAGGAAGTCCCTAGTCAATCTATCTGACCCACCACCGCTAACATTCAAATTTCTCTGCTGCTGCTGCTGCTGATGTTTTCCTTGTCCATGTCCATGTCCAAAGCCATATGTAAGTGAATCGCTGCTGTTGTTGCCTGAAGTTGAGCCCATTTGAGCAGCTTTTTGGAGCAATGCGGTAGCTGACATTTGGGGCACCATGTTATTGTTTTGAGCAAAGAGATAAGGGCTGCTGCTGATGATTTGATCGCCAATGATCACGTTGCTCGAGAAGGGATCCAAAGCTTCACCTGGTGAAATCAGATTGAAGAAATTTAATAAGGCTGATGTTCTTGAATAGACTCGTGCATGAAGAAAACAGCTGAAGGCACAGATCCTCCCATTGATGGGAGAAGAAACTGATCGAACTGAGTACTCCTAGCACCACCACCAGTGTTAATATTCTGGCCTTGAAACGATGGAATCTGGGTTCCAGCTCGAGATAAATGGTTGCCAATGGAGTCTAGGGTTCGCCATGCAGTTTCCCGAGTCAGTGAGTCACAGAATGCCCTGTGAGTGATAAAACTATCACGCCTGCAACAGTTTAAAACACAAGGAATCCATTAGAAAACCAGCTGATTTACAGATAGAGTACAGGCAAAGAAAACAAAAGGACACTTCTAAGTGTAGAAAACCCTAATGGCTAAAGGAGCAAGAAAATTATTGGTCGAATTATACTTTTAGCCCTTGTATTGTAGAATTTCACTCATGTTGGCATGTTAATTTTACATAATACTCACAAAAAAATGTGTTACTGTAGTTAATGAATCTAATAACTACCGTTTGATTTTGGACTAAAACTTTAAAATTTAAAGGTATACTTTTGAAAAAAAAATCAAAGTGGTCATCGTATTTTTTTTTTTTGCCTTCCATTTTAGAAAACAAACTTAATAGGGTCATTAATTAACCAACATTTTTCGTTGTTGACCGTTACGATGCAGACATGGGAGTTCACGGTGCTGATGTGGCAGTCTACGTGCTGATGTGGCAGTTCATCTACCATGTTTGAGTTACCAATTTAGTCCATCTACCATGTCATCCACCACATAATGAATCACCGTGGACTGTCACATCAACATCATGAATTGTCATGTCAGCACTGTAATGGTTAACGACGAAAAATGTTGGTTAAAGAGCCGCATTGAATTTATTTTCTAAATTGGAAGGTCACGTTAAAGAAAAAAATAATATGAGGGCCATATTATTTTTTCTTTTTTAAAAGTACAAATACCTTTTATATCTTTTTACCAATTTTTTTTAAAAAATATAACAATCAAATTAAATTAGAGAACATAAGTCAAACCTACAACTTACACATATAAGACACTAATAGTAAGAAATTTAACTATTAATGGTTGGGTTTATACAAAAATTTTAAAATTTGAAAAGTAAAGAGACTAAAATTAATCACGTTAGAATATAGAGATCACAACTTAAACATCATAGAGGGGTTAATAGTAGAATTTGACCAATATTAGTAGAATTTTAACTATTGAATATGATCGCACTAACTAAGCTATCTACGTGGTAAAAGAATTATTATTGTTCCTTGAGGTTCTGAGTACAAACATGAGGAATGTTCGGGTTGTAAGTTTTCAATGTAAAATAGTGATATAAATAGTTATACTATAGCCTCAAAGCTATAGTCGAGAGGCTAAAATTATCATGAAAAGGCAAAACAAAACACGAAACTGTTTGTTATAACGCCTCTTTTCCTTTTGTGTGCCAACGAGAAAGAACACGGCACACAAGTAACGCATGCATGTCTTGTAATTGAATCCTGCAAATTTCGTTACATACCTGGAGAAGAGAGCGCCGTAGTCACATTTGTACTCCCTCGTGCCACAGATCTTCGAATGAGCTTTCCAGTCGGATTTCACGGCGTACCATTTCGAGCACTTGTCGCACTTCCATTTCTTCTCGCCGTGTTTCCTCTAGTAGTGCTTTTTGATGCTCGTAAGGTCGCCGAGTGACCTGGACGGGTCGTGGTGGACGCATGTGGGCTTGGGGCAGACATATACCTTCTTCTTCTTCACTTCTTTCGTGGTCTTCTGTGTAAGCTTCCATGGCAGATTATGTCCTCTTCTGTAAAGCTGCAGATTTTGCTCCCTTTGGAACCCTTTGTTGCATACCTCACAGATGAACCTGTTTGTTGCCATTAGGGTATTGGGAGACAGTGCTATCACTTCTGCATCTGGATCTGTCAAAAAAGCCGAACAACAGATTCTTATATAATTCTAAACTTAGGGTTTCGTTATATATAGATTTGGATACTTGCTTGGCGTTCCTGGTTGGTTTCTCCTTCTCTTCGGCGACGGCGACGGCGGCGGAGGTGCTGGCTGTTGGAAATAAAACACTCACACAAACAAATTTTATTGAAACTCAAAGAAATATTACAAGAATACTCTCACTCAAAAACAAGAACTACAACTCACTCTTATAAGACTTTGCTTCTTCACTCACTTAGAAGCTCTTAATTTTTTCTTGATGCTTAAAACTAAAATGGGAAGGGGTATTTATACTACTCAAGAACAATCCTACACCACACAAATAAACTAATTTAAACCATTACAAATTCAACAAATATCTAACTCTCACCTAACTAAATTGATGTAAGCAATGACATCATTAATTAAATGATGTAAGCAATGACATCTTTAATTAAATGATGTAAGTAATGACATCAATTTAGTTTGGGTTTGGGTTTAGGCTCCCATAATGGATCAAGTTTATGATCCAACACCCTCCCTTAAACTTGATCTCGTGACCCCTAGTAGGTTCCTTAATCTTAAGAAGTCTTCGCTGGTCAGTGGCTTGGTAAAAATATCAGCAACTTGATCTTGTGACTTCACATATTCAACTTCCACATCTTTTCTTGCAACACACTCCCTTATATAGTGGTAGCGAATATCAATGTGCTTGCTTCGATCATGGAATACTGGATTCTTCGCTAAGGCAATGGCTGACTTGTTGTCGACACAAAGCTTGGTAGGCTCTTCTTGTATCAAACCAATCTCCTTCAATAGATTTCTAAGCCAAATTGCATGACAAACACATGAGGTCGCAGCAACATATTCCGCTTCACAAGTGGACAATGTGACAATCGGTTGTTTCTTTGACATCCATGTGAATGCAATATCTCCCATGAAAAATACGAATCCAGTAGTGCTCCTTCGATTATCTATGTCTCCACCCCAATCACTGTCGCTATATCCAACAAGCTTGTAATCATTAGAAACTGAATAGAACAAGCCAAAGTCAATTGTACCTTTCAGATAGCGAAGAATTCTCTTTGCGGCTTTAAAATGGGTGGTTGTTGGGGATTCCATGTAGCGACTAACCAATCCAACTGCGTGAAGAATATCGGGTCTCGTGCAAGTTAGATAGCGTAGACTTCCTACCAAACTTTTGAAGAATGTTGGATCTACACTTTCGCCTTCTTCATGTTTGGTCATCTTGATCCCGTATTCTGCCGGTGTGCTTATTGGCTTACAGTTCTCCATCTTGAACTTCTTCAGTATCTCCTTTGCATAGCTTTCCTGTGAAATGAAAATTCCATCATTTTGTTGCTTAACTTCAATGCCAAGGTAGTACGCCATGAGCCCCATGTCTGTCATCTCGAATTCTTTCATCATCACATCCTTGAATTCATTAAACATGCTTGGGTTGCTTCCAGTGAAGATCAAATCGTCCACGTAGAGGCACACGATCAAAATATCTTCATCTTTGATCTTGATATATAGAGCATGCTCGTAGGGACATTTGTTGAAGCCATTCTCTTGGAAGTACTTGTCGATTCGGCTATTCCATGCCCTTGGTGCTTGTTTTAGCCCGTAAAGAGCCTTCTTCAACTTCAACACCTTGTCTTCATGCCCTTTGACTTCATAGCCTGATGGTTGCTGAATGTAAAGTTCCTCTTCAAGAACTCCATTTAGGAAGGCGAACTTTACATCCATCTGTTGTATCTTCCACTTGTTTTGAGCTGCCAAAGAAATGATTAGTCTGATAGTCTCCAATCGAGCAACAGGAGCAAATACCTCATCATAGTCAATTCCAGCCTTTTGACTATAGCCTTTAGCAACTAGCCTCGCCTTGTGCCTTTCAATCTCTCCTTTGGCGTTTTGCTTTGTTTTGTACACCCATTTGACACCTATCGCCTTATGTCCCTTGGGAAGTGAGGTAAGTTCCCATGTGTCATTCTTCTCGATGGCCTTGATTTCTTCGTCCATCGCATCTCTCTATTTCTTTTCTTGTACCGCTTCTTGAAAGCTCACTGGTTCACAATCGGCAAACAGACAAAATAATGTAAGATTATCTTGTCGTTCAGTTACCTCATAGAGATCTCTAAGGCTTCTTGTGCGTTGCACAACTCTTTCACTTTGACTCCCACTTGACGATGATGAAGGTGATGAGTCTCCTTGAGTGGTTGATGTTAGTGAAGTGGGTGGAGTTGCAAGCTCTTGTTGAGATTCATCTAGTTGCTCCCTCATTGTCTGCTCATCTTCTTCAAACTGAGAAAAGAAATTGAAGTCATCTGTATGAGAGTTAAAATCCCATTCTCCTTCTTCGTTGAAGACCAAATCTCGACTAATCACAAACTTCTTATTGTCTGGATTGTACAATTTGTAGCCCTTCGAATTAGCATCATAGCCGATGAAGATAAAACTCTCGCTTTTATCATCAAGCTTCGTTCTTCTCTCGTCTGGTACGTGAACATGGGCTATACTTCCAAAGGTTCTCAAGTGGGAAATGCCAGGCTTTCTTCCACTACATGCCTCTTGCGGTGTCTTTCCCCATACACTTCTTGTTGGAGATCGATTTGACAAGTAGACTGCACACGATACTGCTTCCGCCCAAAATTCTTTGGGTAGTTTCTTGCTTTTGAGCATGCTTCGTGCCATGTCGAGAATTGTTCTATTCTTTCTTTCTGCCACACCATTTTGCTGGGGGGATCTAGGAACTGTCATTGGTCGACGAATTCCATTTGCTTCACAGAACTCTTGAAACTCCTTGGAAGTAAATTCTCCACCTCGATCGGATCTCATGGCTTTGATCTTTCTACCGCTTTCTCTCTCCACTGCTGCTTTGAACTTCTTGAAGACTTCAAAAACTTCTGACTTCTGTTTCAAGAAATATACCCAGGTTTTTCTTGAAAAATCATCAATGAAGAGAAGAAAATAGTTATTGTTACCGAGAGAGCTTGGCTTGATCGGTCCACACACATCGGTATGGATGAGCTCAAGTGGCTTCTTAGCTCTTGTCTCTGACTCCTTTGGAAAGCTTTTCCTGAATTGTTTCCCGACTAGACACCCTTCACAGAGCTGGTCAGGATGTTTGATGTGAGGTAGTCCTTTCACCATCTCCTTCTTAGATAATAGCTCTAGACCTCCAAAATTGAGATGCCCAAATCGAAGATGCCAAAGCCATGATACATCTTTGTAGCAAGCTTTCAGGCACTTTGCAACATCATTTTGTATGTTGATCAAGAACATTCTATTCTTTGACATCGGCACTTTAGCAATGAAGTTATTCTTATCATCTTTTATAGAAAGATTATAATTATTCATATGAATATCATAACCTTTCTCTACCAGTTGCCCTAAACTTAAAATGTTACTTTTCATATTGGGCACATAGTAGACATTTGAAATAAATTGATGTCTCCCATCTTTCAAACGGATAAGAATGTTACCTCTCCCTTTCACTGCTATTGTGGAATCATCTCCAAACGAAACATTTCCACTTACTGACTCGTCTAGCTCCACAAACATGTCTTTCCTTCCACACATGTGATTGCTTGCACCACTGTCAAGATACCAGGAATTTGCTTGGCCACCATCAGTTTCCTTTCGTGCTAGAAGAAGAGTTTCTTTGCCATCTGTCTTTTCCTCCACGTAATTGGCCTTCTCCTCAATTTTGTTGTTGGGAGCTCTACATTCTGAAGCATAATGCCCAAATTTTTGACAATTATAACATCGAATTTGAGATTTGTCATACTTTGAGTTTGGATTAATTCTTCCACGGCCTCGTGTTGAGCTTTCTCCTTTCTCATAGTTGTTGTTGGAATTGTTATTGTTGTAATTCCAGCCTCGTCCATGACCTCGACTTCCACCTCGTCCATGGCCTCTACCTCTGCCTTGGCCACATTGGTTTCTATCATTGCGTTGGCTCTCATGCATATCCTTGAGTTGCAGCTTGAGGAGTTGCTCAGTAAACTCATGCTTCTTTTTATGCTTCTCTTCGTATGCTTGCAATGATCCTTGGAGCTGTTCGATCTTCATTTCTTCCAAGTCTTTAGTTTCTTCAATCGTCACGACGATGTGCTCAAATTTGGGATCTAACGAACGGAGTATCTTCTCTATTATCCTCACATCGTCTAACTTTTCACCATTTCTTTTTAATTGATTAGAAACAGCTATTACTCTTGAGAAATAATCTGAAATAGACTCAGATGCTTTCATGTTTAAGGATTCGAATTCACCTCTTAATGTTTGGAGACGAACCTTCTTCACTTGCTCGGATCCTTTGTAAGAGGTTTGTAGCTTCTCCCACGCTTCCTTGCTAGAGCTTGCACTTGAAATCTTTTCAAAACCATCATCATCTAATGCTTGATAGATGAGGTAGAGAGCCTTCTTGTCTCTCTTTCTTGAATCCTTCAAAGTTGTCTTTTGATCTGGTGTAAGAGTAGCAAAAGCATCATCATCCGCAGGCTCGTTATAGCCTTTCTCTATGATATCCCACACATCTTGTGATCCAAGAAGTGCCTTCATTTTGATACTCCAATTGTCATAGTTGTTGTTGTTGAGTGTCGGAACTTGAAATGGTGCCATACCATTTGCCATATCTCTCAATATAATGAGATTTTGTAAAATCCGATTGCACGGATGAATCCGGAACGATGAAAAAAAAAACTTTGGAGGGACTTGGACAACTCGGTCAAGGGCTCCAACTCGGCTGACTCAGCTCAACTCGGTGAGTCAACTCGATTTTCTGGCAGCAGTCTTCCGGCGGTGCGTGGCGGTGCGTCAGAACTCAGATTGAGAAAATTCTGGTGGCGTCGGATTCCTCTCGTCGAGACCTTCGATCTTTCCAACTCTCTCTGATGCCACTTTGTTGGAAATAAAACACTCACACAAACAACTTTTATTGAAACTCAAAGAAATATTACAAGAGTACTCTCACTCAAAAACAAGAACTACAACTCACTCTTATAAGACTTTGCTTCTTCACTCACTTAGAAGCTCTTAATTTTTTCTTGATGCTTAAAACTAAAATGGGAAGGGGTATTTATACTACTCAAGAACAATCCTACACCACACAAATAAACTAATTTAAACCATTACAAATTCAACAAATATCTAACTCTCACCTAACTAAATTGATGTAAGCAATGACATCATTAATTAAATGATGTAAGCAATGACATCTTTAATTAAATGATGTAAGTAATGACATCAATTTAGTTTGGGTTTGGGTTTAGGCTCCCATAATGGATCAAGTTTATGATCCAACACTGGCCCCGTAGCTGAAGTTGGTCCTGTGGAATGCTGTTGTTGCTCGCTTTGACCGTCTTCTCTAACTCCAAACAAAAGCTCCGACGAGGAAGATGCTTCCATCTGTGAAACAAACACTTGTTTTATTCTTCTTCTTCTTTATTTTTCTCAGCTACCAATCATCACCCCACGAAGCTGAGAAAAACAAAAGATTGAAAAGTGAGAAGAAGAAGAAGATAAATGTTGGATACGATCGTGAAGAAGGGTTTCTTCTCTGATATGGTGTCATGCAATCACACTCAACACATATACATCATTCGGCAGATTCTCCTCTCTCAACCCTTAACTGATTTTGGACATATCTTTCTGATTACAAAATCCAAATAAATTAAAGTTTGAGAGAGAGAGAAGAGGATAGAGATCGATGAAAGAATAACGTAAGACCTACAGGTCGGTGGACCCAATTCCTTTTGGAAAAACTTGCTTCCATCATCCTCCTGCATTGGCTGCATATATATATATATATATATATATATATATATATATATATATATATATATATATATATATATATATATATATATATGTAATGGTTAAGATCGATACAGACTTAGAACAATTGGATAAATAAAGATAGACGACTGAGATTGATTCTTTGTTTTTTTACAGTTAATATCTTTACATTTCCTACTTCTAATTTCAATAATCTGTTTTCACTCATCCAACGATCTTAAATCTGTATAAAACTAAAAGAATTTTACTTTGCATAAAAGAATCCTCTTTTATATATATATATATATATGAGAAGTTATATTAAAAATTTTAAAATATAATTTTACTTTGCATAAAAGGATCCTCCTTTATTTATATATATATATATATGAGAAGTTATATTAAAAATTTTAAAATATAAAATTATAAATTTTTTAAAGAATACGATGGTATTTTAATATTCTTCGGTTTATCTCTATGTATAATCAAATACAAATGAAAATAACATTATAACAGTTGGACATTAAATTGTTAATATTATGATGATATGGTGGTTTTTTTCTTTGTTTTTATGTAGAAAATTATAAATTTATTCAACTCTCATGATCAGTTAATCACTTGTCATCACTGATCGTTATTTCTAATAAGGTCAATATTAAAATGTTCACATTTCACTATTATTTCTTTTCTCGAATTGATTTTTCATGAATTTTTATAAAATTTTGATGAAAATTCATCTAAATGTTCAATATTCTATAACTATGATCTTCAATTATTGTTTAATAAGGTTGGATTTGAGGTATGTTATTCATATTCTTGAAAGAATATTTCTTACTATTCATACTTTTGAACACGCCCTAAATTCTTCAAATCTAATGAAATCCCCAAACCCCTGGTGAATTTTTGTGTACAATTTCATGAATTTTAAATAGGACCTGAAAAAAAAAACTAAACTTATAAAGTAGTGGAGGAGATGAATTTATCGGTGTCTAAGGTGGTCACAAAAGAAATTGATGAATGTTGATTTTTAAAGACGATTGAAATTAGGGTAATTGTAATTTTCATGAAAAAGATGATGAAGTGGAGTAAAAAATATTTTTTAATTCGGCAATCAATTTTGAAAGTTTAGTGTCTAAATTGAAATATTTTAAAATTTAGTGATGAAATCAATACAAATACTAAAGTTCAATAAAAAATAGTTTTGAGTAAACTACGAATTTAGTACTTAAACTATCATTTTTGATCCATTTCAGTACCTAAACTTTTATTTTTTTAAATCATATATAACGTTTAGTTTTTGTTTCATTTTAGTACTCATCGTTAAAAACTTAACGCGGTTATTGCCTAAGCTATCCGTTTTATTCCATTTTAATACTTAAATTTTCAAAAAAATCAAAATCTAACTGAGCTTTTAATGGGGGTACTAAAATGAAATGAATTTTAGGATAGTTTTCAAAAAATTAAAAGTTTAAGTACTAAAAGAAAAAAACGGATAGTTTATATACTAAATGCGTAATTTACCCAAATAGTTTTAAGTTGGTGACGTGTAAATTAGATTACCCAAAATAATTCTTTAAAACAATCTGCTGTAGAAGCAGAACTAGCTGACAATATTCTTCAGCCAGAAGAGAGAAGAGAAATGCCCGCTTCTTCAATGTCGTTCCCGATTTTCACAGGTTCTCGTTTAATTTCTCGCATTTCCTTATCGGTCCATTTCTCTTCAAACCCTGTTTTCTTCAATCCATTCTTTGGTCCCAAAAGTTTGTGTTGTAAAAGATTGAGTTACAACCCGAAGTCCCTCGTTAAAATCTCGATGAGTCTGGAGAAGCAATCGAGCTCGTTAAATGGGTACGACCAAAACACGGAGGGGAATAGTGGGGTGCTCGACGTGATCGCCATTGGTAGTAGGAAAGATGCTTTGCTCGAATTTTGCTTGGACTCGCCTTTTCAGTCGTCTTCTTTGAGATTTTGGTAAATTCCCTTTAATTGTTTTTCATTTTTGTTTTTGGTTTGTTTAAAAGGTTTTAATTTGCAGAAAGCGTGCTTTTTGTAAAAGGGTGTGTTTTAATTTGCTTATTTATTAATGTTCTAGAGTAGTACTGATTGCTAGAATTGCTTCAGAATTCCCTAATCTTATTGTTCCTTTATAAATTCTGACAGATTGTTGTTATGAATAGATATGTTTCTCTTCAAGTTTGCTTATTTTGAGCAATCTGGTCATAATGTTATATCTAAATGGCTTATATCACAAATAAGTACCTAAAGTACATTATCTTTTTCATTCAAGTATCTGAAGTATTTTTTGGTCAAAATAAGTACCTAAAGTTTTCTTTTTGGTCAAAATAGGTACTTAAACTATTCAAACTTTTCCATCTAAGTTCTCAAAAAGTTGATATGCGGCATTAATTAAAGAATACTACAGGAACTTAGATTAAAAAATTGAATACTTTAGTTACTATTTTGACCAAAAAATACTTTAGATACATATTTTGACAAAAATTATAACTATAGGTACTTATTTTGATCAAAAAATATTTTAGGTACTTTTACTAGTGATTTCTAGCTTCTGACAGTACCTCTTTTTTAATGCTTAAATATTTGGGATTCTCTCTTATATCTTTCTTTCTTTTCTTTCCAGGACTGTTCTCATGAAAGAAGCATCAAATGTGCAGTTACAACAAAGGGTCCTAGGAAAAGGTTTTATTCTATCTTAAACTATTTAGTTAGTTTATCATGCTATATAGACCAAATTATCAAATTGAAAATTGAAGTTTTACCTAGACTGTGAGATTTCATTGTAGTTATTTCAACTCGAAAATTTGAAATTTTGTTGCTCGTTGCGCAGAATAAAATGTTAGAACCCTTCTTTTTATTTAGTGAAACTCATACACATATTGATTTGTAATTGACTGAAGTTGAGTATTTAGCGTGACAATTTTTGTGTCTGATTTCTTTTCCTTGTAAATGATTCTATGAATGTGAAATAGGCATGAAAGGAACAGCTGAACAGCCATGTGTATTTTTATTAAAATGTTTTATTTTAGTTTATCAATCACTAAAAATCAGGAGAATGTAAATTCCAATTCTGAACAATAAACAAAAGCAATAATCTTGACATTAGCTCGCTGTTGTGTGTATGTAAAAGTGACATACAGTTTTTTATCCTTTTAAAATTATTGAAAATATTTAACCAATGGTCTTTGCATAATATTTTGGCAGGCCCTTTTATGAGTTCTAGGATTGATGGTATACCATAATATTTGAAACTTCTTTCACTTAGATTCTGGTGTTAGCAAATTTGCCTTTTGCTTTAATACTTGGAAAGTTTGGGTAGAAGCTACGGGAAATGTTTTATCTTTTCATATTCCCCCATGGATAAAAGAGAAATTGTGACTGGTTATATAAAGTGGTTGTGGAGAATGATTTTTAGCAGATTAGATTGAGATTTTAAATTTACATTTATGATATAATTAGTAGTGACTTGTAGCTGGAAGAATAACTCATCCAAATTTTCATGTGGTCATGTGCAAAAGCTATTATCCTTGTTTGTACATTCCTCCCCTTGGACTCTTACTTCTATTTTGTTATTTTAAAAAAGAAAAGAAAATGAAAACATTCAGTGTTGATTATTATTCACCATTAAATGATACAGCTGGCCATGATGATACAATAACCCTGCTACCATAAATGACATAAAAGGAAAATTTACATGAATAGTATACTAGATGCAATCATTATGGTTATTATAGCAGTATTTATTCATTGATAAGTAGCATATATACTTGTAAAAGGCTTCTCATTTTTGTATTGGACTCCATAAACTCTTGAACATCCATAATTCATATGCTATAGTGAGTTTGATCCATTCCTTCTACTCATTTTATTCCTGTCAACCAGGTGGCTGGTGCTGGGTATGGCTCAGATCATATTGCAGCAATGGACATTCTTAAAGAAATACGATCTTCAAATGGATTTTCTGTTGCTATTATTTTAAAACCTTTCACCTTTGAGGGGCAAAGACGTCTTGATGAGGTCAGTAACGCCTCTAAGTTGTGACATAATTTCTTTCTTTGCCATAGAGAACATATGATATAACTGTTTAACAGTATATTGTATATAATTTCTTTGGCATACCTGTCAATTGTTTCAAGAGTGAAATTTTCTACTAGAAGTTTTAATTTAAAACATTATTCATTGTTTTTACATACCTGCTTGCCTGCCTTATCTCCATGGCATTTTGGTGCATATGTTTTGGAGTCCAAACTTACATTGTTGCAGAAGCAATTTATTTCCAATACCTTGAATGCAACAATATGCAAAGCAATATTATTTGCTAGGTAGAGTTTCACACACATACATATGGGGGGGGGGATTAGATACATGAACCATAGCATATAATATGCAGCTGGGGACTTCATATAGTCTACGGTAAAAGGTTGATAAATTGATGGCAAAAGACTAATTGGAGATGACCTCCTTAGTTGGAAGTCCTTTTGTGCTAAAGCTTGAAACCTTCAGCTTTGGTAAGTATGTAGAATGACAAATGAGAATTTCAAAATCAACTAGAGTTGGATATGCTAAGATTTAAAAGGAAATTTGTAGCCAGAGCCTGCGGGTTTTGTGCTGGAATCTTGCAGGTGTTTACATTTGATTTTGATATGCTAATTCAAAAGGAAATTTGTAGCCGGAATCTATGAGTTTTGTGCTGAAGTCTGGCAGAAGTTAACATTTCTAATTATTAGGGAGCTCTATGGTTTTGTACTAGGCATAAAGTTACACAGGTCACCTTTTTGGTGTACCGGTAGGGGGGGGAGTTTGAAATGTGAGGTTATTGGCTTATAACTACGACAACAATTCAGACTGATTCTTAACTCAGTTTGCATAACACAATTTGCAGGTCAAGGATTTGGCAGGAAAACTTCAAGAGATGACAAATTTTTGTATTGGTAAGCATGACGTAAAGATTTTGTTAGTTGAGTATTTGTCATCTCTTTTAAAAAACTTCTTGATAACCTATTTATATCATTTATGATCTCTAAAGGCCTGCCATTACAATGTCGGGGGTTCTCACAGTTTTTCTTATTCGCAGAAATTGACACCGACTCCTTACTCAAAAATGAGTTGGTAACACTAGATGAGGCTTTGAGAACTGCCAATAATGCTGTTATACTTGCCATAAATGTCATATTAGTTGTCATAAGTGTAAGCATTTCTTTTGCCTTGTTGGGTTGGCTCTGAAATTTAAGCCATGCTTATTATCATTGGTATACTCTGTGAATTCTCCAGAAGATGCAAAGAAAACTTATTGATGCAGTTCATGATAATATTAAAGAGCTTGGAGTTTCAGAAGTTATAAATGTGAGTTGACCTGACATTGCATTTTGTACTAGTTATTACCCATTAGTTTATTATTACTCAACCTTTTATATTCTGTTCTTAAACTTCTTTTTTCATTATCCTTTGGATCTGCTACTGACACCTTTTTTCTTGACGTCGGTTGATATTTGAGGGACTTAGACATGCATGCTTTCTTGATCCAAAATTATAAAATTTCATTGCTTATCCCTCTTTTGTTTTTCCTTAACTTTTCTAAGAATGCAAACTTGCACAGATTCTTAGGAAGTACAAAGATGCAAAAGTTGGATTTGGAGCTGGTTACAACATCAGAACTTCAATTTCGCAAGCTATGCATGACTGCCCTTTTATAGGTGCAGGGGTAAAGGTATCATTAAGAAAATTCTAATGCAGATGTGACATAATTTTCATTTGAACTGTTGAGATATACGTGCATGCATGACTTTTTTACTTTATGTTGTTTAAGTGCTCCTTCACCCTATTTCCTTGTCAGTTTAAACTTCATACATAAATGTTTTTCCGGTTTGGGGAAGCCTACTCTTTTTCTTTGTTGCATATGTTACATTAAAGCTTTGACCATTTCATTTTTGGACATAGGACCTCAATGGCATAGTTATATGTGTTGTTGCAAGTTCTAATGTTATCAGCGATGATGATTTGCAAGCCTTTTTGCGTACATTCCGTCAAACTACAGAGTACACAAAGGACATTATTATATCTGTAGTTCATGATCCTAAGCTGGAGCCCAACCTTCTAGTCACAACAGTTGTTATCTTGGGGTAAGAATTCTAACTTCTAAAATTAAGATGGCAACCAGTATATTATTAATTTTTTCTGTATGATGACATTTTTTACACTTATGTAGAATATATTTTAGTTTTTGCTTTTTGATGCAACATCTTTTTCCAGTTCTCAATCACTCACATGTAGGTTATGAATCCAAGTTCTGCTTTTTCCTTCTCTATTTAGTCTCATCTAAATTATTGTAATTGCAGTCATCTTGAAGAACAAACTTCAAAGAAAAGCGGCTTCTTCAATAAACTGGCACAACATTTCCCATTTGTTTTTAATCTATTAAGGAGAGATCCTTCACAGTCAAATGATACTTTCAAAGAAGATGTCAAGGCGATAAATAGGACAAATTCCAATGAAATGGGAAACAAAGTAGCTTTAGAAGGCATATCTTTAGGTTTTAATGACGACGCTAGTGAAATTGAGGATGTACCGAGCAGCAAATCCCGTGATATCTACTCTTTGAGGTTCAGTTGTAACTCATTTATACTTTAATGCCTTTTAAGGTTCTCTCTCCGTAAAAGCTTATAAAGTTATAAAATGCTTTTTTCTGTTGTAGAAATTATGACAGTGGATCTGATCAAAACGAGGTTGCTTTATTAGATGGAAAAACTGACTTTTTCAGCTATTACGAGGAAAATTCGGAAGGTAGCAATGTCAATTTTTTTGTTAGATTGGATTAACTATTAACAATTTGATGAGTCATGTTCATCTATGTACCCTCTAAAGAACTTGCAGATCTTTCATATTAGAAAACTGAATCAACTCATTTCTCTTCCGAACTATGGTAAAAAATGTTGCCCGGGTATTCCTACTTTCCGTCGGGAATCACTGAATTGCTGGAACTTGGGTCCTGGGAATCAGCTTGCGAAGGAGTGGGCCAAAGAAAGAGCAGCTGACTTGGAAGCTACACCGGTGCTCGATAATCTCTGCATCTTCCGCCTTCCTGTCGGAGTAAGGTCTTTAGAAGAACTGAAAGAGGGTGTTAATACAGTGAATGCCAAGGATTTTTCAGAATCTAAATCTGAAAATGGTGTCAAAGCCCCACCACTTCCCAGTTCAAGTAGGCCTTGGGGTGCATTGACCGATGCAAGTTTTGAAGCGATGAGGGAAATTTATAACAATGGATCTACAGTATTAAAGGGAAAGACTGGTGTTCCTAAGAAGCAAGGAGTACTTTCTGCTCGTGTGGCTTCTATGCTGGTAATCTGCATGTTGTTTAAGTGATTTCTAATGTTCAATCTTTTTCATTTAGTTCAGCTTTAAGGCATTTTAAGTGATGAGTGCATTAAGATTTTGGTTGTAATTATTAACACAGGAAGCTGAACGAGACTTACCAAAAAAGTGGAGTCCTATTGAGGAGATGCATTATAGAGGCGGAGTCTACAGGGGACGATGCCAAGGGGGTCTTCCTGAAGGAAAGGTACTTTGATATAGCCCTGGCTTATTCAACAAAACTCTATTTGTGAAGGATGTATATTATTTTATTGGGAGATGAACTCAGAAGACGGTTGAGTAAATTTTATATAGGGTCGTCTTGCTCTTGGCGACGGAAACATTTATGATGGTATGTGGCGC